GCTTTTTAATTATGATTTGTTCTGCCTGTAACAATGCTATTGAAGGCGAGGAAGATTATCTCAGTTGCACGCGCTGTGACAAATTGTACCACCTGATATGCACTGCAAGCTCCAGGCGTTACAAGTGCGTTACCGGCCTTTTGGGGAGGAGTTTGGAGGATCGTTGGGGATTCAGGGATTGGGGAGATTGGGGAAGTGGAGGGTAATCGGGCCGCCGGTAACCTCACTCACACGACGAAACACAAGCGTTGTTTCACGTCGGTTTCCTGCACATCGAGCCGGAGCCCCGGTAACCCGTTAGGTTCTCCGCGACGGTTAGGTTCTCCACAAAGGCAATATTTATATTATTTTTTAAGGTGTAAATATTTTTCTTTTTACTATATACTAACAAACTACACTGTATTTAGGCATCAGAATCCGCTTGCCATGAGGACAACTTCACCTTTGTAACTACCGGAGGAGAAATGAAAGTCTTTAAATAAATAAAACTCTATATTAATATAATATAATAATTATAGTGTTGATATATTATGTGCTTGCACGCTCCCCATACGTTGGATATTGCTCAAGGCTTCAAACGCTTGTAGTTCGCGAGATGACTGTTTAGATGCTGAGCGAGCTGGTCTGCTCGCGCGAATGATGCCTGCAAACGTACAAAATGAATATTATACATATATGGGGTGTGACAATTAACAATCTATTTAGTCCGTCAGTTAGGCAATGGAAACATATTATTAACACGCATTTATCACTATTTATGTTATGAGTCCCATGTAATAGGGGGTGAGCCTATTGCCATATACTGGGCGCATCCAGACTCCATGCTTCTACTAAGAATTTCTTAAAACCTAGTAATACTTTGCCAGACCCGGGAATCGAACCCGAGACCTCTTGCCAGGCAATCGCACTTCCGACCACTTGGCCATCGAGGCAGTATTTACTGTATATTTTCTAAGAAATGATGTTAGTACATATTGGGTACTTTCCAAAATATATAAAAAAATAAATTATTTCGACTGTTCAATATCTACAATTAAGTAACATAACATAACATCACGCCTTTTATCCCCGAAGGGTAGGCAGAGGTGCACATAGAAGTAACACCCACTTTTCACTATTTATGTTATGAGTCCCATGTAATAGGGGGTGAGCGTATTGCCATTACCGGGCACATTTCCAGACTCCGTGCTACTACTGAGATTTTTTAAAAAACCCAGTAATACTTTGCCCGACCCGGGAATCGAACCCGAGACCCCTTGCCGGCAGTCGCACTTGCGACAACTCGGCCAACGAGGCAGTCGATTAATTAAGTATTAAAAAATAATCACACTTTCATTAATCGATTGACACAATCCCGTACAAAATTCATAGAGAAGTGTCGTAAGTATTGAATCTGACTATTGGCAAGTAATGATACAATGCAATAAACATGTGAACGATACATTACCTACAGACGACACAGCGTAGAGTTGCTTGGTGTGGTTGCATGTGTCGTTGAGTGAGTGTGCGTGTGAGAATCGTTTCCCGCACTGTGCGCATGCGTGCGGCAGCCGCGCACTGCCGCCGTGCGCGCACACGGCGTGCCGGCGGAGCTGCTCGTAGCGCGGGAACGAGAGCCCGCAGACGGGGCACCGGCCTGGCGCATTCCATATGTTCGAAATCACTTTCATTCATCATCACCACAGGCACCGGAGGCCAATTCCCGCTGACTAACCGACTAAACGTAATACCTACATGTTAAGCCTTGTTCGCCCTGCGCTAGTAAGTCGAGTGGCGAGTTTTTAATAGTTCTCTCTCGCTTCGATTTTGGGACAGAAGCGAGAGAAGGCTACTGAATACTCGTCACTCGACTGAAATACAAGCGTAGTGCGAACGAAGCATTACTTTTGTCCATATAAGTGATTGGAAGGGCCCCAATCTCCCCGATCCCTGAATTCCCAATAATTATAAATTTCCTAACCACCACAAGGCCGCAACGCACTAGTTTATTTTTTTAATTTTAGTAAGTTATTAGTATAATGCGTCAAGCGTGTCTTTGCATAGTTCTTACATATGCGTACAGTATTGAAATATGTATCGGAGACATTGTAGAACATACTTTTTTAAAAAGAGTAACGAATGGAGTTTCTTGCTCGTTCTTCTCCATTCGAATCTACTTTTTGGAATGAGCACCTAGCTTCACCTAGTTTCACTGACGGACGGACTGACAGACTATTATTTATTTTATATTTGTTGACGTTACAAAAGTACCAAACTATGGTTTAATTGAAATAAATGCTTTGACTTTGACTTTGACTTTAGTAAGTCCGCTATTGTTCCGAGTGTCCATGGGCGGCGCTGATTGCGTGCCATCAGGCGATCCGTCTGCTCGTTTACTGGCTTATCCACATAAAAAAGACTTGAAACTCCTCTGGTGTTGCGGGTGTGTATCCGTGACGCTGGCGTTACTGAAATATATACCTAGTTAAGGTACTAAATGTATAGTTAAGATTTATTGTGCCCCTTGTTTTGGTATAAGCCGGTAAACGAGCAGACGTATCACCTGATGGTAAGCAACCAAGATTAAAAATTAAAAATTAGCAAAGATTAACACAAGTACATTGACCCCTTACGAGGCAGTCAATGTACTTGTGTTAATCTCATTTTGTACAGATAGATTTAATGTTTAGAATTAATAATTCATTACGAATCGTATTCCTAAAACTAAATATCGCTTTGTCATGAGTTCGAAACCCGGGGAAACACCAGGTATTGCCCGTTAGGTATTCTTATAATACTAAATTAGGTATCATCGCGGTTTTTGTTCCTCGACGGGGTATACAGAGGTCCACACATACAATGTAACAGTCACTTTTCACTAGACATGTTATGAGTCCCATGTAATAAGGGGTGAGCCTTTGACATGCTGTGATAATATTGCATCGTGTTATCACTGCGAATATCAGTACAAAGTACCTACTTTGCCCATTCGAGAATCGAACCCGAACACTACGCGTACACACTTCTTTTCAAACAAATATAGCTCACACCCTATCTGAGCTAAACACAGCTGTCGGTCTAAATTCTGTGCAGTGAAACAAAAGTTATTACAATTTTAATTTCAAATAAATCTATCAACGGCTGACTCGCATCGACCGGCGTCGGTGGACGCTGCCCCCCCCCCCCCTCCTACCCGCTCCGCCGTGCCGCGGCTACTCCGAGTGTGGTTGCGCTGTTGCCGCTCTGCTTCGCTGTCGCTGTGCCACTTTCGGTGGATTTAAATTACGCGCGCTCTGTTGCCGCTCTGCTACGCTCACTGGTTCTAAAATTTGAATTGTCGCGCGCACTGCTGCTGTGGTGTTTTACTTGCCTTGTTGCGCTAAATACAACGCTTGATATTAATTATTGCATGAACCCGCTTGCTTTTTAATTTTGATTTGTTCTGCCTGTAACAATGCTATTGAAGGCGAGGAAGATTATCTCAGTTGCACGCGCTATGACAAATTGTACCACCTGATATGCACTGCAAGCTCCAGGCGTAGGTTCTCCACAAAGGCAATATTTATATTTTTTTTAAGGTGTAAATATTTTTCTTTTTACCGTATACTAACAAACTAGACTGTACTTAGGCTACAGTATCCGCTTGCCACGAGGACAACTTCACCTTTGTAACTACTGGAGGAGAAATAAAAGTCTTTAAATAAATAAAACTCTATATTAATATAATATAATAATTATAGTGTTGATATATTATGTGCTTGCACGCTCCCCATACGTTGGATATTGCTCAAGGCTTCAAACGCTTGTAGTTCGCGAGATGACTGTTTAGATGCTGAGCGAGCTGGTCTGCGCGCGCAAATGATGCCTGCAAACGTACAAAATAAATATTATACATATATGGGGTGTGACAATTAACAATCTATTTAGTCCGTCAGTTAGGCAATGGAAACATATTAACACGCATTTATCACTATTTATGTTATGAGTCCCATGTAATAGGGGGGAGCCTATTGCCATATACTGGGCACATCCAGACTACATGCTTCAGCTAAGATTTTTTTTAAAACCTAGTAATACTTTGCCCGACCTGGGAATCGAACCCGGAGACAGGCAATCACACTTCCGACCACTCGGCCATCGAGGCAGTATTTACTGTATATTTTCTAAGAAATGATGTTAGTACATCTTGGGTACTTTCCAAAATATATCAAAAATAAATTATATCGACTGTTCAATATCTACAATTAAATATTAAAAAATACTTAATCACACTTTCATTAATCGATTGACACAATCCCGTACAAAATTCATAGAGAAGTGTCGTAAGTATTGAATCTGACTAGTTGGCAAGTAATGATACAATGCAATAAACATGTGAACGATACATTACCTTACAGACGACACAGCGGTAGAGTTGCTTGGTGTGGTTGTGCATGTGTCGTGTGAGTGAGTGTGCGTGTGAGAATCGTTTCCCGCACTGTGCGCATGCGTGCGGCAGCCGCGCACTGCCGCCGTGCGCGCACACGGCGTGCCGGCGGAGCTGCTCGTAGCGCGGGAACGAGAGCCCGCAGACGCGGCACCGGCCTGCGACAGTCCGTATACTCGAAATCACTTTATTCATCGTCAGAGTCATCATCACCATCCAATTACCGCCCCCTTCCCGCCCCTGTCTCTCCAATCCCCGAATACATCCTCCACAATTCTCAAATTCCAATTCCCAAAAGGCTGGTAAAGCACTTGTAACGCCTCTAGCGTTCCAGGTGTCCATGGGCGATGCCGATTGCTTACCATCAGGTGATCCGTCTGCTCCTTTACCAGCTAATTCCATAAAAAACATCACCAATAGCCTATAAATGCCTACTGCTGAGTAAAAGCCTCTTCTCACACGGACAATTCATCGTAGTATGATGTTTTATTACCTATAGCTTTACGAAAAAAATGGGCGATCCAACACATAACTAATTTGTCATATTCCAGTAGTACCTGACATTGGCAGGTTCAAACAAACAATTCCTTCAGCTTTAGCGTCCTTGGTGGTATGGATCAAATGGAACAGGGTCATACAAGAGGTTATTCCCTACCCTTTTGCTCTGGGAATAGGGGTCCGAAGCTTTATACAGGTGTCCCCGAAAGTATAAATCAAGTATGGATAGATCAAATGGAACAGGATCATAGAAGAGGTCATTCCCTATCTTTTTGCTCTGGGAACAGGGGTCCGGAGCTTTATACAGGTGTATGGATGGATCAAATGGAACAGGATCATAGAAGAGGTTATTCCCAATATTTTTGCTTTGGGAATAGGGGTCCGGAGCTTTATATAGGTGTATGGATGGATCAAATGGAATAGGATCATAGAAGAGGTTATTCCCTACCTTTTTGCTCTGGGAATAGGGGTCCGGAGCTTTATACAGGTGTATGGATGGATCAAATGGAACAGGATCATAGAAGAGGTTATTCCCAACATTTTTGCTTTGGGAATAGAGGTCCGGAGCTTTATACAGGTGTATGGATGGATTAAATAGAACAGGGTCATAGGAGAGGTCATTCCCTATCTTTTTGCTCTGGGAATAGGGGTCCGGAGCTTTATACAGGTGTATGGATGGATCAAATGGAACAGGATCATAGAAGAGGTTATTCCCAATCTTTTCGCTCTGGGAATAGGGTTCCGAAGCTTTATACAGGTGTATGGATGGATCAAATGGAACAGGATCATAGAAGAGGTTATTCCCAATCTTTTTGCTCTGGGAATAGGGTTCCGAAGCTTTATACAGGTGTCTCCGAAAGTATAAATCAAATGTAACAATGTCATAGAGGTCATTCCCTATCTTTTTGCTCTGGGAATAGGGGTCCGAAGCTTTATACAGGTGTTTGGATGGATCAAATGGAACAGGATCATAGAAGAGGTTATTCCCAATCTTTTTGCTCTGGGAATAGGGTTCCGAAGCTTTATACAGGTGTATGGATGGATCAAATGGAACAGGATCATAGAAGAGGTCATTCCCTATCTTTTTGCTCTGGGAATAGGGGTCCGAAGCTTTATACAGGTGTATGGATGGATCAAATGGAACAGGGTCATAGAGGTCTTTCCCTACCTTTTTGCTTTGGGAATAGGGCTCCGAAGCTTTATACAGGTGTATGGATGGATCAAATGGAACAGGATCATAGAAGAAGTCATTCCCTACCTTTTTGCTTTGGGAATAGGGCTCCGAAGCTTTATACAGGTGTATGGATGGATCAAATGGAATAGGATCATAGAAGAGGTTATTCCCTACCTTTTTCCTCTGGTAATAGGGGCCCATATAACTACAAATCGCGGGTTACTCACGTCAAAATACTGAGAAAAGCTCTACTAGTTTTGAACACAGAGGGGTTCTTCCTCATGAGTAGAGTGCGCGGTCGTGCAATTTACTCTGGTTTAGTATGTTTCACGCTATTTATTGTAAAGACAGGGTCCTACTTCTTAATGGTTCAAAAGTTATGACAAATTTTCATTTTGTTCAGTTATTTTTCCTATATGCTTGAAAGCCTCTATGCTTTGCATTGTCTTTTGTTTAGGTGACACAGGTGTCATAAGAAAAACGTCTATTATAAATATTGTACCTACAAACTGAATTATTTTAAACAATGCATGTTATTTCTATGATATAGTGTTGTTACTTTTAGTTACTTAACTTAAAGAATATAAGTGAGGATCGACGGGCTAAAGCAGTGACAATTTAATTGTCGATTCTCTGTTGTTATAGGTTTGTATTCCGAGGTTACTTAGTTTATTATTATTTATTAAAATATTGTTATCAATACATAGTATAAAACAAAGTCGCTTTCGCTGTATGTCCGTATGTATGCTTAGATCTTTAAAACTACGCAACGGATTTTGATGCGGTTTTTTTAATAGATAGAGTGATTCTTAAAGAAGGTTTGTATGTATATACATATTGCACCCGTGCGAAGCTGGGGAGGGTCGCTAGTTTTATATAAATAAAACTCTATTGTTATAGATGAATCATATTATTTCATTGTTGTCTCGAATCCTCATCTTATATGCTTAAAGAAGCGATAATAAACAAGAAACTATCGGAGATATCAATGTTATTTTTATTCTTAGACTTTCTACAAGAGTGGACCTATCTTATCACTATAGATACTCGGTAAAACAACATGCATTTATTAAAAACAAACAATTCAATTATAAAGATTTCCGTTCCAAGAAAATTGATTCAATTATTATTATTTTTTTGGCGTTTAACCTCTATCTCGCCTGGTGGTAAGCGATGATGCGGTCTACGATGGAGCACGTCGTCCCATAAGCAACCTATTCACTCAGACCTTGAAGACACCCAGCTTATACAGGGTATCTCTGAAGTCGACGATGAAATGGCACTAGGTGATCGGCCAGGTTATAACAGTTATCAGAAAAATATAAAAAAATCCAAGTCAGATAATTTTTAAAATACAATATCATTCTTGAAGGGGTAGGCAGAGGTGCACATAACGGCACTTAATGCCACTGTACTTTGTAACACCCACCTTTCACTATTTATGTTATGAGTCCCATGTAATAGGGGGTGAGCCTATTGCCATATACCGGGCACAATTCCAGACTACGTGCTACTACTGAAAATATTTAAAAACCCAGTAATACTTTGCCCGATCCGGGAATCGAACCCGAGACTCGAGGGGTTAATAAAAGATCCTCGCTGATTTCTAACATTGTAAGCCATACGTTCATGTTACCTAGTGGATACTTTTAGGTACGCTTTGGGTACACTAGAATAAATTTTAGTAAGTCCAAATAAATTGTTCAAAAGGAACTTAGTAGAATGTGTGTATGTATGTGTGTATGTGTGTGTGTATGTATGTATATAATTCTATATTAAAAGTAAATAAATTTGTTTTTTAATGTTTTCTCTTTTACATTATATAAATAAGCACCTCAGTACGCCAAGCTATAACTACCTCATTTAATATCCTACTATAGTGTTCTATCCACCCAAAGGTTGCCTGGTAGATATCGCTTTTAGCGATAAGGCCGCCTTTGTACCCTATTTTCTTTATTTGTTCCTGGATATACTGTCTCAAATTGGTGTACAATAAAGATTATTTATTATTATTATTATAGAATAATATTTTTTGTGTCCAATTTAAGAAATAATATAGAGAGTGGTGTACCATTTTAGAATCCTTATTAAATAGGCAACTTTGGTGAAATGGCATTGACTAAAATTGGTGCCTATCTTTTCTCTGGCGGCAGTCAATGATTTATGGAAAATATTATCTAGAATGACATTACAAGCGAAATTGTCTATGGGCTCATATATGGAAATCTCAGTCTGGACCGAGTTATGAGCGTCGAAAGGAGCTGGAGTCAAACATTTTACTTTGTTTTTTTTATTCAAATTATTCATATTTTTGTCACAATTCCTAACTTCAAATTGCGCGCCACTGGACGCCGGACACAGGCACACCATATCACACCACAATATATCCATATGCCCAGGCACTAATTTTTATTACCTTTTTTCTCTCAGTCGATAACTTGTGGGATGCTTCTAGGAGTTGTGTCATGAAGCTTCATGAGCGTCAGCTGTGGTACCAGTGGTGGGTTGAGTAGTGGTAGCCGTCCAAACATCTAATAAAGTATTTTTTTGCCGTTGACTCCTGGTAGGAGCCTCATCTACTTTATAGTTAACATAATCTTTTAAAGAAAGGAAATCGTCGACTCTGTAAAGCAGTCGAAATATAATCACTCGCTTTGTGACTGAATGACGATATCTTTGTACAGAATCTTATGCTAGCTGTAGATTAAAGTATTAACTGTTGTTGTTTTGACGACTGCCGCTACTCAATCCGCTACCAACGCCGCAGCTGACAAACACAGCATTTCATGATAGGGCTCAGTGATGTATTTTGCGGGTTTTCGACTGAGAGGAAATTGATCATGAAAATCTGTCATAGGCCACCAACCGTATACATAATTATGTAAAAGTGAACACGCTAGCTAATCAAGCGAAATGTATATTTTTAATTCAGCAGCAGCCAGACTCGTCGAGTACCGTCATTATAGACACAATTATAGAACAATGGGTTGCGGTCACCGGTGACCGCTTGGTGTTTGACAGTTTAATGGTTGACTCTGTTCTGATTCCGTGGCCTTATAACAAAAAAAAAAGTCCACAATAAGCTTTATTATATTCGTTGAAATCGTGTAGAAACATTTATTACAAAATATTTCTGACAAAAAAATGAAGAAATATGCGTTGTGTATGGTCATCAAAAAAATAACAGGAATAATATAGCACTATTTTCCCATCTTTGAACTGATTTAACTTGGTTTGGACTGTGTTTTTGATATAACATCCCATATATTTTTTGACGTGACAACGTCTTATAAATTGGTTTGCCGGGTGACACTTCAAGAAACTGCGTTACGCTCCGCACACGTTATGCGCTCACAGTGAGAGCGAGTGAGAGGCACGCGTCCCTTCCACTCGGGCATGGTTAGCCCGCCTAAGAGCGAGAGAGACAGACATAAAAAGTGAAAGGCACGCGTCCCTTCCACTCGAGCACAGTTAGCCCGCCTAAGAGCGAGAGAGACAGAGCGAGAGAGAGAGAGAGAGTAAGAGAGATAGGCATACACACCGGTTCATGTCTTGCGCTTCTATTTCGCTATTAAAATTATTTTACCACTCAAAGTCGTTGTCACGTAAAACTTTCGCCCGTATACCGACTTTACAGGCAACCATTTTTTTTTCTTTGTAATATTATTGTGCATCAGTTTTGCCAAATCCGATCAACTGCCGCGAAATGAAAAGGCACCACGCTCCATACAAATTTGGTCATTGTCAATTGCCACTACTACTGCAGTGCAAATTTTTTTCAGTACAGTCACTTAAAGTAAGATGAATAATGTATTAATCCGTCGAGCGTCCGCGTTTTATGATCCAACGGGTGCACACGTGACATTTGGAGAAAGAAAGAAAGAAAATGCATTTATTTCACGAAAACAAGGATCATTGCAATAGAAATAAAAAATACAGTCAAAATAAAAACAAAACATTAATAATAGATTTTATAAAAGAGAAAGCAGCATGGAACATTTTTTCTTATGCTCCACCGGGTGCTCATAAGGACGCTCGAAGGGTTAAGAATACTTGTTTCGTCAAAAACGACATTATTTTTCGAACTAAAGCAGTCGGCTTAGAATTTATGATTCCATAATACTGGAGCACTATTCAGGATAACGTAAGCAAAAATACAGACGAAAAAATAAAGAATTGTAGCGACAAGAGTCAAAAGACTGGCTCAGGGTGTACTTTGTCGTGGATAACACTTTGACTTGGATTTTTTTAAATATTTTTCTGATGACTTTTTAAAAATTGTCGATCACTTGGCGATATTATATCGTCGACTTCAGGGTCACCTGTATTGACAATTAGGTAGTTTCCAGGGTATCAAAATTAAAAATCTAATTAGTCCGTCAGTTAGATAATGAAAAAATATTAGACACGTATTTTTTTATTTTCTCGTATTAAGTTGCAATACTTAGATAAAATGGCGCTAAGTTTAGGAGTGGGAGGTCGTTACGTCATAACATGCTACAAAATGTGACACGCTGTGACGTCACACAATATTTCAAATCAAGATATGGTCGAAAGTGTTTAATTTTCTAAGAAACGCAAATACGTGTATAAAGTTTTAAAGTACCAGACGGACATTAAAATATAATTTAGGAAATTACCCATAACTCCCGAACGAATTACCCAAATTAGATAAATCTTTCTGCATTGGATAGTCCATTTATCGAGGAAACGCATAGGCTATAAAACATCACGCTACGATAAATAGGAGCCGAGTAGAAGTAGTAAATAAATGAGAACTCACCAGCTCTCTCGTCTGCGGTATGAGTCCGATCATGCGCGGCCAGTTCTGCGTCGTCCTCGAAGCACTTCCGACAAACTTCACACCGGACTGTCATGGCGCCGCGATGGGCCTCCGCTCTGATTGAAAATAAATATAAATACGATGTGATGAATATATGGAAAGATTTTTTTTAAATTTAAGATTATATAATATAGAAATAGGAATACCTAGTTGGAAAATAAAGTATTAGGTGGGGGTTCCATAAATTACGTGCGGTGTTTTTTTTGTTATTTAAAAAAAAATTAACGATTTACTTCGGGACGATAACGGAATAGATTTCACGGTGTATTTGGGTAAGAGCATCCACGATTTTTCTATAAAAAAATAAAGTTCTAAGATCATTAGAAAGACCGCGCCTAATATCATAACACAGACAAGATACAATTAAAAGACCAGGTCTACTGAGTAGACCACGTTACTGAGTGAAATATTTATGAAAATCTAAGCTTTTTAAAATGGCGTGAAGATAGCAACAAAGGTAAATAAAACAATCAGTCTACTAAATAGACCTGGGTTTTTTGCAAAATAAGGTTACCCTTTTTGATAAAAGACCGCAATCTGCTCGATAAAAGACTAGCCTTCTTACCAAAATAATATTATCTTCTCGACAAAAGACCACTATATGCACAACAAAACCGAATTTCATATATTGATAAACACCACGGTCTTCTCGCCGAAAGACCATACGGTCTACTCAATAGACCGTACTCTATTATACACGACACACGAATGGAGTTTCTTGCTCGTTCTTCTCCACTCGAATCGACATTTTGGAACGAGCGCCTAGCTTCACTGACGGACAGACTGACAGACTATTATTTATTTCATATTTGTTGACGTTTCAAAAGTACCAAATTAAGGTTTAATTGAAATAAATGCTTTTGAGTTTGAGTTTATACTCACTTGTGTTCCCATAATTTCTCACGACGGTTAAATGTTTCGCTGCAACAATCACATTCGTATCGCTCTGAAGATCGCGCGCGCGACCGCGAGTTACCACCGCCGCGGTTTTGATGGACGCGGCGATGTATTCTGTGGACGAAAAAAGGTACCTATAAATAATATGGTAAACTATACAGATAAATAAAATTCGAGTGCCTGTTTGTAATATTGAAATAACCGCTTTTTACTACAAGTATATGAATATACACACGATACCTACACCAAAATAATATTTTTTTACATTTTTATTTGTCTGTCTGTTTGTACTGACTAATCTCTGGAATGGCTGGACCGATTGTGACGGGACTTTTATTGGCAGATGTACTACGGCATCAGCTAACTGCCAATAAAAGTCTCATAACATGGGCGGGCTAATTGTATTTTGGAAAATTGAAAACAAAAAAAAAGTTATCTACGCGGACGACGTCGCGGGCAAAAGCTATTAAACAAATAAAAATTGAAAATAAATAAAAGTTTATCATAGATGTTATTATTACATTAGAAACACAATATTAATATTAACTAATATGAAAAAATTCGTTTCAAAACTTTGCAGAATATAATTTCATTAAAAATAATCTAAATTGTGTAATGATTCATTTCTTCTATAAAAAAGTTACTACTATTCATCCATCCATTTATGCATTCATATTGTCACGCCTGCCTCCCATTGGGTTAAGCAGAGACAACAGAATGCCAAAAGACATGATTCTGACTAACATCTTTTTCTTCATCTACATTCATTAATTTTTATCCTATAAAACTGTTATAATTTTGTCTATTATATTAAAAACACAACACAACATAGTCTACTCACAAAAATACCACGGTCTACTCACAAAAGACCATGGTCTACTCACATAAAAATACCAAAAGACGCTACTTACTTGAGTGTCACCCTCGTAGAATACCATTTGGAGCAGATATGACATTGGAAGCTTTTGTCAGCGGATTCATTCTCGGATTCGCTGATCTCGTCGTGCGAGGTCGGTGCCGCCGGATCCGCTGACCGTTCCGGATCAGAGTCGGATCCGGTCTCCGACATCGCGCCGCTGTTGGACCATTCACCAAATGATCTGAATATAGCAATTTGGTGTATAGAATAAGTTAGTTTTTTAATTATAATGAAGTATAATGTACGGTTAAGGGTCAAAAGTCCACTGCCACCGTAAGTCTACTATCGGTTGCGCTGCAGCGCTTATACACACATGCACACGCATGTTGTATCCGTGTGCGTACGCGTGCGTGTGTGTATGCGTACGCACGCGTGTTTATGGACATTAATATGAAATTACTTACGCATAGCATTGTGAACATCACTTACGGTGGCAGTGGACTTTTGACCTTTGACTGTAAATTGTCCAATCATCCAAATTATTTAGTATCTAGGTAAGATAATAAAGATTGATTCAGTACAGAGCCAGTAGTTATTGTTATACTAAATTGTACGCTTTGTAACGAAGCCATGTCTTCTGTAACTCAGTCGGCTCTAGACAACCAGTGGTTACTGTCTCTGTACTGAACCAATCTTTGTATTCTTACCTGCAGTTGTAGCCAAATGCCATTTAGCGCTTGTCTACATGTAGAATAGAAAACCAAATTATATGGGATTGACGTAAATTTTGACATTTGTCAGTGTCATGCCCATATTTTTGATTTCTACTCTCTCTGTAGACAAGCGCTAAAATGGCGTTTGGCTAAAGGCACTGCATAAAAATATCTCGGTTGACTACAGGAGGCTTTATTCTTCCCCCCCGGGTAGAAGGAGTAGGCAGAGGTGCCATGGCACTTAATGCACTGTACAATGTAACCCCCACTTTTCACTATTTATGTTATGAGTCCCATGTAATAGGGGGTGACTGGGTGAGCCTATTGCTATATACCGGGCACAATTCTAGACTCCGTGCTACTACTGAGAATTTTTAAAACACAGTAACACTTTGCCCGACCCGGGAATCGAACCCGAGACCCCTTGCCCGGCAGTCGCACTTGCGACCACTCGGCCAACGAGGCAGTCATAATAGGAAATAAATAAATACGTCGATGACTTACCTATCATCGTCATGGACCGGATGATCAGCGACGGGTTTTGGTTCAGTCTTAGGTTTCTCGTCGCCGGACTCGGACTCACTGTCAGAACTGTCAGACGAACTGGACGAGTCTGAACTAGACGAACTGGATGAGCCTGAACTAGAACTGCCTGTAATTAGAGATTTTTTTTGTATGAAGAATTATGTCTTTAACCGGCTATAACCTCTCGCGCGCCTCTCGTACACACGGGTAAATATTTTAATAGAAAAGCGAATTAACTATTCTGTTCAATCAAATAACGAACGGGTTGCAAACTTGAAAATATACGTCACAGAAAAAATATCCAATCGGTGCGCGTTTCCTGTACACCCGTGTGTACAATTGCGCGATGGGCACTCAACTCTGTCGTACACCCGTGTGTACAATTGCGCGATTGGCACTCAACTCTCTCGTACACCCGTGTGTACAATTGCGCGATGGGCACTCAACTCTCTCGTACACCCGTGTGTACAATTGCGCGATGGGCACTCAACTCTCTCGTACACCCGTGTGTACAATTACGCGATGGGCACTCAACTCTCTCGTACACCCGTGTGTACAATTGCGCGATTGGCACTCACCTCTCTCGTACACCCGTGTGTACAATTGCGCGATTGGCACTCAACTCTCTCGTACACCCGTGTGTACAATTGCGCGATGGGCACTCAACTTTCTCGTACACCCGTGTGTACAATTGCGCGATGGGCACTCAACTTTCTCGTACACCCGTATGTACGAGAAACACGCATGAGGATAAAGGAGGAGGTTCGTATTTCGGATGGTATATTTTAAATGAACTGTTGCCTAAAGTATTTCCGAACCGATATCGAGCCGTAGATATTACTTAAATTAATCGTCATTTCATTTTTCAAATTGTCAATTGTTTTTATTTTTACACACCTAAATCTCAAGCGAAGCCATGATCAGAAGCTAGTTTATATATCACAAGCTACTTCAGCGCAGTTTCACCCGCTCTGCTCCAGTTCGCGTTCGGCAGCAGTTCGCGTTCGGCACTTGTCGTGTGCGCTCGTACGTCTACTTACTTAACCTCTCTGTGCCAGATATTTTTTTCCATTGATAGTGATGCGTTACCACAACATCGACCTATTATCGATAGTGGGGCGTCATCAAGAATGGACAAATTTTTAAAGAAGTCGGATTCCACCGGAAACCTTAACTCCACCTCCAAAAGACCCGGTGAAGACCTTATTGGCCCTTGGCAATTCGCTAAGCGTCCTGCTGTCGCTCGGAATTCGGAGAAGTTCGACGAGTCGCGAAGATTACCGCTGCAAAATAAATACAAAGACCTCCCTGTGGAAGATAAGAACGAATCTGAAACGAATGCTTGCTTTATCAATGCATCAACCGGAACAAAGAAGACGGGACATATCCCACCCCTGATTTTAGAGATACAGAAAGACTGGACCCATGAGTCTATTAAAAACTTAATCTCCCGGTTTACAAACAGATTCCATCTTCAGTACAGAGCTAACAACAAAGTTGCTGTTATCTGTTACACGTCTGACGTCCACCAGATTGTGAAGGAAGGGCTCCGAAAAGAAAACGCTGCTTTCCTTACATACACCCGAAAAGACGAAAAAGTCCCCAAAATGGTTATAAAAGGATTACCATCTTATGTCAAAGAAGACCTACCTGATGAACTTGAGAAACTAGGATTCCGAGGAATATCAGTCTCACAACTAAAGATTCAGGAAGTGAGTACATTAACTTGCCCACCTTATTTGGTCGTACTTCCGGTTGGAACAGATATTGCAAAGTTTCGTAAAATCAAATATCTATTTAATTGTGTAGTAAAAATTCAAAAATTTATGCCCAAGAAGTCTGGTGGTACTCAATGCTACAGATGCCAAAACTACGGCCATGCATCAAGAAATTGTAATATGCCCGCAAGGTGTGTTAAATGTACGGAACCCCATGCAACGAGTGAATGTCCTAAAAAAGACCGGACGGAACCCGCACAATGTTGTAATTGTGAACAAAATCACCCTGCAAACTACCATAAGTGCGAGTCTCGTCTTGCTTACTTGAAGCGTGTTCAAGCAAGACGTGAAAATCTACCTTCAAGACCCTCCGAATTAAGGTACTTATCTACGGATCCTGCGGTTGCCCTACCCATACCTAAGAAACCTTCTTATGCTGCTGTTGTTAAGACCCACACAGGTTATGATTCCATTGCAAAAGACGACCTGGAGATACCACCGGATGACCCAGTGACGAAAGAGATGTTAGAAATACTAATCTGTATTAAAAATCTTAAACCACAATTTTCTGCTTGCGAGTCCACACTGGACAAAGTAATGTTAATTTTATCCCATCTTGGTCACTATGTATAACTCCTATGAATTATCACTGCTATCATGGAATTCCGACGGATTACGATCTAAAATCTATGAACTACTTGATCTGGCGGTATGTACCCTATCTATTGATATTATAGCTGTCTGTGAAACTAAACTCACTAGTAACACTTTCATTAGTACACCAGGTTATATATGCTACCGTCAAGATAAACACCATAGTGGTCGAGGGCAAGGTGTAGCCATATTGGTCAACAATAGACTCGAGGCTCGGCAGGTTATTATTCCCAAAACCAAACATATTGAAGCAGTCGCTATTGGCTTGGTAATTGGAGGTAAGGACTACGTGTTTGTTTCGGCTTATCAATCTCCCAATTTAAGGCTTGAAGGTGGTGACTTGGACATTTTGTTTTCCCTGGGGCCCCATGTGGTTGTAATGGGTGACTTTAATGCCAACCATAAATACTGGAACAGTAGTTATACTAACACTCGAGGCAACACATTGTTCCATCATATGCTGAGCCATGACTACATTATACATTGTCCTGATACACCCACTCAAGTCAACTACCGAGCTGATCTTACTCCGACTAATCCTGACTTAGTTCTATCGTTGAATGTCAATAGTATGCATGATATTCAAGTTCTACCAGCCCTATCATCTAATCACTTTCCTGTACTGTTCACAATCAATGGTTTTTGTTCTCGCAAACCCATTCCTAAAGTCTACTCTTATGTTAACACTGATTGGAAAAAGTACCGTTCTTTTCTTGATCAGCATATATTTCTAAGCTCGAATGTGTTCAAGTCGGAGCCAGAAATTGACGAAGCCGTGGGCCACTTACATCAATGCCTCATTGAAGCCAGAGATAAATTTGTTACTGCTAAACAACCTATTAACACTAACAATGTCTTACCTAGCTACATTACAAAAATAATTAAATACAAAAACTTTTTAAGGCGTAAAGAACAAAAAGCACTAACTACAGACAAAAGACACTTAAGATCAGCTATCAATTATTTACAAAAACTTATCAAGTTACATATTATAAAATATCACGACACATTATGGAATACAAAACTTTCTAAAGTTGACAATCCTGGCAACGATTTATGGCGTCTGGTGAAAACTCTTAAGCCTAAATCTGACACAATACCTCCACTTGAAACTTCAGACGGCTTATTAACAGCGAACACGTCTGAGCAGTGTGAGGTCTTAGCAGATACTTTCGCGATGAACATGAACCTAACCCACGACTGGGTTAGCGATAGTGTTGAAACGGATGTTCAATCAGCTATAACCGTCTTAAATAATCATGTCATAGATAATTTTCATCAACTAGTCCGGCCTACTGAAGTCTGGAAAGTTGTACGTAAACTTAAGACTAGAAAGGCACCTGGTGATGATGGAATACACAATATAATGCTTAAAAACTTGTCACAAAAGTCTATTGTGTATATTACCAAAATATTTAATGGTTGTTTAAAGTTGGGTTATTTTCCTCATATGTGGAAAACTGCAAAAGTTATTGCTCTGAAAAAACCAGGAAAGGACATTGCATTGCCGACCAGCTATAGGCCCATCAGTCTTCTACCTGTCCTAGGTAAACTTTTCGAGGTATTGATATATGATCGGTTGCGGCGATCCTCAGAACAGCTTATTCGGAACGAGCAATTTGGCTTTCGTTCATCTCACTCTACGGTGCAACAATTGGCCAGAGTTTCCGAACATATCTCTTATCATCTTAATCATAAACAGTCTACCGGCATGTTCCTTCTTGATATCGAAAAAGCTTTCGATACTGTCTGGCATGATGGCTTGTTATACAAGCTCATTTCTTTCGGAATTTCATTGAATTTAGTAAAACTGATTCAGTCCTACCTCAGTGATCGCAAGTTCGTGGTACATATTGGCTCTAATAGGTCATCACCCCGGGTGATGATGGCTGGGGTACCGCAGGGATCGGTGCTTGGTCCTTACCTCTTTGTCCTGTATGTTAATGACTTGCCTGTGCAAGTCCGTACCCACTTGGCCTGTTTTGCTGATGATACAGCGTCTTATACTTCAGATAGCGACGTTGACATTATCATTAGCCGACTTCAGATGTCTCTTGAATTACTCCAGTCTTACTTCAATAAATGGAAGCTCAAATTGAATGAATCTAAAACTGAAGCCATTCTTTTTACACGTCAACGTAACGTCCCTAAAAGAAATTTAAATATTTCTGGTCAGTCCATTCCTTGGAGTGCAGCAGTTCGCTACCTGGGTATCACGCTGGACAAAAGGTTAAACTGGACTAAACACATAGCAAAATTACGTGTCAAGGGAGCACAAGCACTAGGTTCCCTAAGCCCTATACTCAACCGTAAGAGCAGACTCAGCCCTAAGACAAAAATTAGACTATACACAACCTTAATTAGACCTTGCATCACCTATTCATGTCCAGTATGGAGCAATACTTGTGAATCAAATTATAAACATTTACAGATTCTACAAAATAAAGCTGTTAAAATCGCTTATAATACTCCATTTTTGACTAATCTCCAAATACTTCACTCAAAAATTAATTTACCAAACATCACACAATATATTTTAAAACTAACTCGCAAATTTTACAGTAAAAATAAATGTCATTATAATACTTTGATTGCCGACATAGGGCGAAAAGATTTGAATGATTTGCATGGTATCGATAGATATGGTACATACAAGCTCCCACATCACTACGTTTTGTTCGCACACAAAACTGATACCATCGTAGCATGAACCACGCACTGCGCCAGCGCTGCCCCGCTCTCGTCACTAAACCGTGAGGAGGCGCGGGGCGTGGGGGCTCAGTCGCTGTGGAAACTTGGTGCGGCTACCTGCGTTGCCACTGTTCGCAACATTTTATGTATGCGCGTAATTAATGTATTTTTACCCTCGAACTATAATAATGGAATCATTACAATGATTTCATATGTATAACATTATTAAGTTATCATAATATCAAGCATACATTACCTATTATTGTTTTAAAATACTTAAAAAGGCTTACACAGCCTGTAAAAGTGTTGTTATTTGAAGACGGAATTGTGACTTAGTATAGTAAGTTTTTCAATTTGTGTACACCTATTTATTTTAATAAAGAATTTTATAAAACAAAAACCCGCTCTGCTCAGTGCCAATTGGTCGTAGCGTGATGTTTTATAGCCTTAATCAATAAATGGACTATCCAACACAAAAAGAATTTTTCAAATAGGACCAGTAGTTTTTAAGATAACAGCGTTTAAACAAACAAACAAACTTTTTATAGGCCTGAGTGCGAGTCTGTTTTGTTTCAAGTATTTTTTTTTAAAAAAAACGTTGCCCCACACTTGGATTTTCTCCTGTGTCGTGTGTACGTTTACAAATATATTCACATACACATCACACACAGACCCAAAACAACAATTTGTCGATGGCACAAAGAGTTGCTCCGTGCGGGAATCGAACCCGCGACACGTTACGTGGCAGCCGGTTGCCCAAGCACCACGCTAACCATGTTGTCTTTGGCCCGCGCATGAAGCGATCAATTACAGTACCAGACGCGATCTCGTTTCGATTTTACATAATAAAATAGTACAAAATAATGTATCTATGAAGATATTAGCTGATGACTTACTGCTCCGTACATGACGGGCTCCAGAGGTGCTTTGGGAGGGAACCGGACGACGTTCTGATCAAACAATAATCATACAATTACACTTTTTGAAAGTCAAAGTCAAAGTCAAGGTCAAAGGTCAAAAGTCAAAGTCAAATGTCTGGGTATGTGTTTGTAATTAAATAAATGGTAAGGTTGATCGTAAAAAAATTACAATGTCAAATTAAAAATGAAAACTAAATCGTCAAAATAAATTGTAAATACAACTTCATAAGGGTTTTTATTAGTGGGAAATGTAACATGTTAGTCAATAAGAAATCAAATATAAATATTTACGTCAACACAAACTCAAGATAAACATCAAAGTCAAGATCACAGGGAATATCAAATCAAACGTTAAACTCCAGATCAAAAATCAAAATCAAACGTCAAAGTCAATATCAAAAGTCAAAGTCAATATCAAAGTCAAAGTGCGTATAAAAAGAAACCATGGCTCACCAGATCCGGAACTACTGCTGTCCGAGTCTGAGTTGGAACTGTCCTCCAGCTTCTCCACTCGAGTCTCCATCTCTTTGACTGACGCACATCCTGCGAACAAAGATATTTTGAAAAACCTAGCTTAAGCCAGCGGCTTCGCCTGCATTCCCGTGGGATATAAAGTAGCCTATGTGTTACTCCATACCATAATCTACCCCTGGGGGCTTACTCTTGAATCCAAGTCCGATCGATCGACATAGGTATTGTGAAATTTCGTACTTTTGAGTTGCAACACTAGCGCCCATTGCAGCCGTATTGTGTGGATATTGAATGAACTAAATGGTATTGAGTTTGGCTTTATATTCCGTACTCTGAATGCTATTGTAACAGCTACGATTGTGGTTGTATAGTGTTGACATTGAATAATTATTGAGATTTTATTGAAATGAAATTGCATTGACATTGAGATTGGTTTCAAGAGTAAGTACCCTGTTCCACATTGCATCCCGATCCCTTCAGCTGTATTGACGTGAAAGAGTAACTAACTAATAAACACACAGACACACACATATGCTTGTGTATGTATGCATGTGTGTGTGTGTGTGTGTGTGTCCTCACAAACTTTCGCATTTATAATAATACTAGCTTTTACCCGCGGCTTCGCTCGCGTCACAAAAGGATAAAAAGTAGCCTACGTGACATATACTAATGCACACAGCGCCATCTATACCAATACTTTTGTTTTCCCTCGGGAATATCAATTTTTCCGGGATAAAAAGTACCCTATCATTTAATCCAGACTTCTAACTTTACTTACTGGCAAAAATTCAAAGCAATCGGTTCAGTAGTTACGGCGTGAAAGTAGAACAAACAAACAAAAAAAGAAACTAACTTTCCGATTTATAATATTAGTAAGGATAGGTATTAGTAGGATGGGCCTCCGATGTGTCGTGGTGGCCCGGAGGTTTAAGACGCCTGCTTCTTATGCATGATGGTGCGGAACCGAAACCGTGATCCTCAAACTCCTAATCCCCAAAAGGCCGGTAACGCACTTGTAACGCCTCTGGTGTTCCAGGTGTCCATGGGCGACGCCGATTGCTTACCATCAGGTGATCCGTCTGCTCGTTTACCGGCTTATGCCATAAAAAATAATGATACAAACCTTCAGAGCTCCTAACGGAGAGTACTTCATCGTCATCCCTACGCTGTGAGTCGAGGGGTTTCTTGAAGTTCACCGCCAACAAGTGAGTGTCGTATAGATCATCCTACAAAAACATAAAAATAAGTACTTTTTTATTTTATTAAAAACATTGCCTCACACTAGGATTTTCTCCTATATCGTGGGTGTGTTTACAAACATACAAGTTCACATACACATGACACACAGACCCGAAAGAAGAATTTGCGTGAGTGAATTATGTAATTTATACTTTTAGTAATAATTATAGAAGTGGTTAATTGTAGTATGTAACTAGGTACCTAGTTTACTCTATAAAAATTGATTAGACGTATTGTAATAAAAGAGTCCGTGGGGAATTAATCTGTAACATTATATTAAGTGGCAAATATGTATTAAGTGTGTGAGAGCCATGCTTCGGCACGAATGGGCCTGCTCGACCGGAGTGATACCACGGCCTCACAGAAAACCGACGTGAAGCAACGCTTGCGTTGTGTTTTGTCGTGTGAATGAGGTTACCGGAGGCCCAATTACCCCCCTCCCTAGTCCCCGTCTCCCAAATCCCTGAATCCTCCACAATCCTCAACCCAGTAACCCGTTAGGTCCTCCGCGGCTATCGGCATCAGCCCTATTGGGCCCCTTCAGTATTGGTCTGATGACTCCTTGAGATACTGATGGCTCTTTTGGGTGAGTATAAAGCTTACCTTATCAATGTTGGCGTATTTCTCGTGGATATGTCTGAGCGCCCGGAGGTTCTCGTCGAGACTTAGCGAGTCGGACGCCTGGCTGGGAGACCCTGTAACAATGTCGTTAAATCAACTATTTAACCATTCGATTACCGTCTTTATAGACACAATTAAAGAACAATAGGTTGCGGACACCGGTGTCCTCGCGGTGTTTGACTGTTTAATTTTGTGACTCACGGAGGGCAGACACTGTGATGTAACTTTGCGATGTCAATACTAAAACTTGTTAACATACAGTAGATATAAAACTGAAAGGAAAAGTATTTTTGGTATGGCGTTGGCTACTTAAAAAAAAAACGTTTCCCGACACTTTTTTTAAGGGGGGAAAATCATCGAATGACTGCTCCCGCCTGGGTGAGGCGGGATGGAGTGTCAGACTCTTACTGACTAAAAACCACCCCGTTCCTTCTCCTGCACGTCGAGCCGGAGCCCCGGTTACCCGTTAGGTTCTCCGCGGCTTTCCCGACACTAGGATTATCTCCTGTGTCGTGGGTGCCGTTACAAACATACAAGTTCCTACACCTACACATGACACCCAGACCCGAAACAACAATCTGTGGATCACACAAAGAGTTATTCCGTGCGGGAAACGATCCCGCGACACGTTGCTCGCCAACCATGCAGTCAATTTTAACCACATTCCTAATACATTAAAAAAAATAGCCAGTTCAATTTTTAATAAGAGACTTACAGCACTTTTGTTTACCAAATGTGTACTCTATGTCTGATCATTTAGCTGATAAATTGTAACATTCAAATTCAAATTCATTTATTCATTGTAGATCACAGGTATACATAATACAGTTGTTATCATAATTCGGTTGAGCTTAGCTGTGTCCCGTCCATTGAGCGTTCAATACCTAACATATAACATCCCGCCTTTTATCCCCGAAGGGATAGGCAGCGGTGTACATTACGGCACGGCATCCGTGCTACTACTGAGATAAAAAAACCAGTAATACTTTGCCCGACTCGGGAATCGAACCCGAGACCCCTTGACCGGCAGTCGCACTTGCGACCGCTCGGCCAACGAGTCATAATATGTCTGATGATGAACTTGCGTCAATATTTGCATGAAGAAATGGTAGAATGTACAAGGATATGTGATTAGTGTTTTATATATCGCCAATCTGGTCGATATATATGTAATTATGTATATATGTCCGTCTAGAGGGCTCTCTATCGACGGCCTCATTCATTTCTGCTCTGTATACTTCCTTCGTTACTCTACTTTCAAAAATAAATAAATTGTATTTTTTATGGTATAATCCGGTAAATAAGCAGACGGATCACCTGATGGTAAGCAATCGGCGTCGCCAATGGACACCTGGAACACCAGAGGCGTTACAAGTGCGTTACCGGCCTTTTGGGGATTAGGCGTTTGAGGATCGGGGAAATTGGGGAATCTGTAAAAGTACCCGGATATATATACCTCTAATAGTTAACTCACCGAGATCCGGTTCATCATCGCTGTCCAGTGTGATCGGTTCAGACACGTCAGGCATCAGGTTATTTCTTACACGTATCTCTGAAAAATTAAAAAATAATCATAACATCACGCATTTTATTCGCAAAGGGGTAGACAGAGGTGCACATTACGGCACTTAATGCCACTGTACAATGTAACATCCACTTTTCATTATTCATGTTAAGAGTCCCATGTAATAGGGGGTGAGTCTATTGCCATATTTCCACAATTCCAGACTCCTTGCTATTAATGAGAATTTTTAAAAATCCGTAATACTTTGCCCAACCCGGGAATCGAACCCGAGACCCCTTGCCCGGCAGTCGCACTTGCAACCACTCGGCCAACGAGGCAGTCGATTCACTCGGGCCTTGAAGACACCCAGGTTATTATACCATTCAGGAAATACTGTTGATATACAAGGTGTTGTTTTAAAGCCGCGTCATTTTCTAGGAGGTAACTCGGCTATCGATTCCGAGTCCGAATCAATAAAAAAAATTATAGGTAAATATTTTTCTATAAATTACGGAAATCCGTAAGTGCGAACTACACGCCGCCGTCTTGTAACTAGCTTTATAACGCGGCTTAGCACACACAAACTCAAACACGTAATTGATATTATTCCTAATTCAATAAAACTCCAATAAGAAACATTGCTGTCGCTTATTCTGAAATACTGTCGAACTTAAACGATTTATTATAGCCGTATTTTTAACTATTGACCCGAAACTTTCTCTTGTATTGAACCTTCTAAGTGTGGGAGAGACATGCTTCGGCACGAATGGGCCGGCTCGACCGGATTGATACTACGGGCTCATAGAAATCCGACGTAAAACAACGCTTGCGTTGTGTTTCGTCGTGTGAGTGAAGTCACCGGAGGCCCAATTACCCCCTCCCTAGTCCCCGTCTCCCAAATCCCTGAATCCTCCACAATCCTCAAATTCCCGATTCCCAAAAGGCCGGTAACGCACTTGTAACGCCTTGGTGTTATGAGTGTCCATGGGCGGTGCCGATTGCTTACCATCAGGTGATCCGTCTGCTCGTTTACCGTCTTATAGTATAAAAAAAACCTTTATGACTTCTGTGACATGCCCCCGAGCAATTTAGGTTTAAAAGGTGACTTACTAGGTTGCTGTTGCACTTTATTGTTAGCAGCAAGCTGGTCCACCTTCCGAGGTCTCCCACGCTTGCCTTTCACGCGTTCCGTCGACGGATTCTACAGAAAACACATACATATATAATTTTTTTAATAAGACAATCCCGCCACAACCTCCCAAAACCGCTGCAACTCCTCTAAGCCAGGATCTACAGTAGATATAACCATGAAAACATCGGAACACTGAAGTCCGGCGCGTCCCAGGGACATGAGTAACTGTCTTGGTTCCCGCAACGAAGTGAATCAGAAGATATTATAAGAGGAGAAGAGAAAAAAACGATAGTATCCACTTCCCTCGGTGAATTACTGCAGGAGACAGAATTAATTAACACATCTTATACTATTATATAAAGCGGAAGAGTTTGTTTTTTGATAAAATATTAGACATGTATTTTTTTATTTTGTCGTATAATAAAACAATACTTAGATAACACGAATCAAAGTTTAGGAGTGGGGGCTAATATATCATTTCTACGTATAAAATGTACATAGAAGTGACGTCACGCGACATTTCAAATCAATATATCGTCGAAAGTATTCGTTACTGTAAGAAAATAAAAAATACGTGTCTAATGATTTAAAATAATCTACCAGACGGACATTAAAATACAAATTAGGCATCTACCCTATTGCATTGACATTGAGATTGGTTTCAAGAGTAAGCACCCTCGTTTTATATGGCTGCATGAATGCAGGCTATGCAAGACCAATATAAATTGAACTACGAAAGTGTAGACTGATCAAACAAAGCGAGGGCATGACATACTGGTTGTTGATAAATAGTACTTACAGCATCTTTCTTAGCACTCGGATTCCTCTTCGTGTATTTTCTTTTAGTACGAGGCGTCGTCTCTCCAGCAGATGACGAAGCCGCTGAATCTACAAAAATAACAATTAATTATGGACCTTATCATCTAGAAAATATGTCCTATTGGCTATGTGCGCGACGGTGGCGACGCGTAGCGTTTACAAAATTTGCGGAAGCTGTCAAATAAATATACATTATAATAATAAACATTGTAATTTTCTTTGCAAATATAAATAAAACCATAGATAAACCTAAAATAGTATATATTCAATAACATTAACATAACATCACGACTTTTTATCCCCGAAAGGGTAGGCAGAGGTGCACATTTCGGCACTTAATGCCACTGTACAATGTAACACCCACTTTTCACTATTTATGTTATGAGTCCCATGTAATAGGGGGTGAGCCTATTGCCATATACCGGGCACATTTTTCCAGACTCCGTGCTACTACTGAGATTTTAAAAAACCCAGTAATACTTTGCCCGACCCGGGAATCGAACCCGAGACCCCTTGCCCGGCAGTCGCGCTTGTGACCACTCGGCCAATGAGGCAGTCAATTATTCAATAGTTTTACTATAAAATGAATGTAATAATAAAAACCGGGTTTGCATCATCCGCATTTGTTTCCAATTTCTGCCGTGTTGTGCGCTGCGGTCGTTATCTGTCCGCCAGTACTCGCTTTGCACATAGCCAATAATGCGTTGATAATTATCAAGTGAATTAATTATTATGTTTACGGCTTACTCACGTAATTATTTGATGAGGAACTCGGCTACATAGGACTGTCGAGCTGCTAATCTAATGCTGATTGCTGCTGTCAGCAGCGTGATAATCACCGCGTCAAAGGTCGTGGAATACTGCTCATGAATGAGCCTCTAGCATGGCTTGAAACTAGTCGAGTTCCTCGTCAGTTTTTTTATGGCATAAGCCGGTAAACGAGCAGACGTATCACCTGATGGTAAGCAATCTACGTCGCCCATGGACACCTGGAACACCAGAGGTGTTGCAAGCGCGTTACCGGCCTTTTGGGATTAGAGAAGTATTGGGGATTGGGCCTCCGGTAACCTCACTCACACAACGCAAGCGTTGTTTCACTATGGTTTACTGCTCGGCAGTGGTATCAATCCGGTCGATCCGGCCCATTCGTGCCGAAGCATGGCTCTCTCTCACTTACGTGAGTAAGCCGAAAACATATTAATTTATTTTACAAATTATATAAAAACTTGGTATACATAGATACATTTAGAATATTACCATGCATAACTAATACAGTTATAAAAAAAAATACAATAAACAAAGTCATATCTTTACTTTTTATAACATAACGTCACGTCTTTTAATCTCCGAAGTGGCAGACAGAGGTTTACGTATATATACAATGTAACATCCACTTTTTACTATTTATGTTATGAGTCCCATGTAATAGGGGGTGAGCCTATTGTCATCAGTCACAATTCCATATACCATGCTTACAAAAACTTTTTTAAAGATGAAATTAAAATATCATACAATAACTACGGTATAACGGGGTGAATAGAATTCAAGGTGTGAATAGAACCACCACAGATGGGGCCCAATAGGGCTGACGCCGATACGGAGCCGCAGACGGGTTAACGGGTTGCCGGGGCACCGGTTCGAAACGCAGTAGTAGGAACGGGGTAGTTTTTAGTCAGTAAGAGTCTGACACTCCCTCCCGCCTCTCCCAGGTGGGAGAAGACATTGGATGATTTTCTTCCTCCATCGAATGACTGCTCCCGCCTGGGTGAGGCGGGAGTGAGTGTCAGACTCTTACTGACTAAAAACCACCCCATTCCTTCTCCTGCACGTCGAGCCGGAGCCCCGGTTACCCGTTAGGTTCTCCGCGACAAAAATATATAGATGTTACAATACTTCCCAACACTAGTTTACCCCTTCTCTGTATCTATTCACCCTTTGAATTCTATTCACCCCTTTGTACGGTCCATGAAGAAAACCATGCAACTAAAAATGAAATGAATGATTAAGATGTGTTAATATGAATGTTATTAGAATGCACACATGCTTTTAAACTAACCGAAGGAAGATATATAATGTAAAGGTCCCTCCCTCGCCAGGAGCATTCGCGTGTAATGTAACGTTACAGATCTGAGCACTACATCAGTGAAGGAGGAGAACCGAGCATTACAATGCGCACCTTGTAATGATACAATGTGTATTTTTTTTATGGAAACGAGCCGACGGATCACCTGGGGGCTTACTCTTGAATCCAATCCCGATCGATCGACATTGGTATTGTGAAATTTCGTACTCTTGAGTTGTGACACTAGCGCCCATTGCATTCGTATTGCGTGGATATTGAATCAACTAAATGGTATTGAGTTTGGCTTTATATTCCGTACTCTGAATGCTATTTTAACAGCTACGATAGGGGTGGTATAGTTTTGACATTGAATAATTATTGAGATTTGATTGCATTGAAATTGCATTGACATTGAGATTGACTTCAAGAGTAAGCACCCAGATGGTAAGCGATCAGCGCCACCCATGGACACCCGCAACACTACAGGAGGAGTCACAGGTGCGTTGCCGGCCTTTAATATCCTGTAATATCTTGATACAAGTTGTAACATCAATGAGCTCCACTTCCCCCAGCCCCCCGCCTGCCCGCTCAGTAATCTACGTGACAGTGAAGTGAACTTTGTCATTGTGTTGTAGACGATTCGGAGATTTTTTTCGCAAATGCTCGTTAGTCAGAGAGGTATTATTGTAATATAATGTCGTGGTGGCCCGGAGGTTTAAGACACCCGCTTCTCATGCATGAGGGTGCGGGTTCGAAACCTACCAACGGCAAGTACCAATGTGACTTTTCCGAGTTATATGTACTTTCTAAGATTATTCAGACACCACTGACAAACGGTGAAGGAAAACATCGTGACGAAACCTCGGCTTATAATTTCCAATTATAAGTTTGTAATCGCCAACCCGCATTGAGCAAGCGTGGTGATTAATGTTCAAACCTTCTCCGTGTGAGAAGAGGCTTTGCTCAGCAGGGCGTTTATAGGCTGTTGATGTGATGATGATGATGAATGCTCAAAGTCGAATCTATACACGCGAATGCTGCCGGTGAAGGAGCACCTTTATATCCAGTTGTTAGTGTCCCATGTAGTTAGAGATGGATTAACCTCTCGCGTCTTTCTCGTACACACGGGTGTACGAGAGAGTTGAGTGCCCATCGCGCAATTATACACACGGGTGTACGAGAAACGCGCACCGATTGGACATTATTTCTGTGACGTATATTTTCAAGTTTGCAACCCGTTCTTTATTTGGTTGAACAGAATAGTTAATTCGCTTTTCTATTAAAATATTTACCCGTGTGTACGAGAAGCGCGCGAGAGGTTAAACCCAGAGAGCGCCTTAGCACCTCATAGGCGCCCCAACTTTTTTTGACGCTACCGCCATCTATGGTCAGTTGTGCACGCGTTTCTCGACGCCCCTCTTAAACCTAGCGCCCTACACACTTGCCTACTTTGCCTTACGGCTCCTCATGCAATGAAAGTGTAATATTAACAAATTTTTTACCAGTTACATTGTTATTAAATATATTTGATGAAAAAAAAACATACAAATACATTTTCTTTAATTCGAAACCTGAACCCATAAACATTACTCAATCAGATTAACCATTTTTCTATATAAAAATAAAACATCCAGATTTAATAATAACTATTAAAAATATCACCAAAAACTATTAAAATTCTTCATAAAAAATAATAGGTATCCGAAATTCCATTCCCTCCTATATACCTAATAAAAAAAAAAAAAAAAAAAAAAAACACCGTATCATTCCTTCTAAAAAAAAATACTAAAATTACAGTCAAATTTTGTACTAAAAATTCTACCAAAACACATAATAAATTGAATCTACTTTCATGCATACTATCTATTAATTTGTCTATCGAAGCGGCCATTTTGAGAATTTTGACGTCCATTTTTGCTTCATTATAAAAAATAAACACACCACACGCATTCAATAGGGTAGACGACTAATTTTTATTTTAATGTCCGTCTGATAGATTTTTTAAAAACATTAGACACGTATTTTTTATTTTCTCACAGAAACGAATAGTTTCGAAGATATATTGATTTGAAATGTCGCGTGACGTCACTTCTCAGTACATTTTATACTAAGAAATGACGTTTTAGCCCCCACTCCTAAACTTTGATTCGTTTTATCTAAGTATTGTTTTATTATACGACAAAATAAAAAATACGTGTCTAATATTTTTTCATTACCTAACTTACGGACTAATTATATTTTTAATTTTCAAACCCTGTCATCATCCCCATTTGTCGACGGGATAGGGGCAAACGAGCAGACGGATCACCTGATGGTAAGCAATCGGCGTCGCTCATGTACACCCGCAACATCAGAGGCGTTACAAGCAGCAGTTGGGTAAAATTGATGAATAGACATCAAATACATACTTCTTAAGTTTACCTACATCGCATTCATAAAAACGAGCTGGTCAAGACGACCGAGACCTCTTTTTACCGACTTCAAAAAAAGGAGGAGGTACTAGGTATGTTCGGCTGATTGTTTTTTTTTTCTGTTCGCGCCTTACTCCGCCATTTGTGAATCGATTTCCAAAATTCATCTATCTCATATCGTAATGATATAACTTAATGGCCACAAAATTATAAATTAGGTATCTATTTAGATTTTAATAAATTATCTTTTTATATATTATAATTCTTCTGTGAGTGTGTATGTCACTGAACTTCTCTCAAACGACTGGACCGATTTTGATGACATTTTTTGTGTGTGTTCAAGGGGATCTGGGAAAGGTTTAGATTCACAAATCAGCCCGGCAGATGGCGCTGCAGTCGATGTTTAGGTTATTTATCCTAAACAGCTGAACTAATTTGAATGAATTTTTGTTTATACATTCAAGTGGATATGCAGGACAACGTCTGTTGGGTCCGCTAGTTTTGTATAGAACTTATGGCATCGACTTCTAACCTCAGTGGGTAGGTAACCTATCAGTACTAATGGTAGTTATTTTTATCCTTTTGGTTTTTTTTGTTTGTTATTAGATTTTGGTTTTTTGAAGTCGGTTTTTTAAACGCAGTTTTTATTTTATTTATGGAATAGAGGCAAATGAGCAGCCGGATCACCTGGAAGTAAGCGATCATCACCGCCCATAGACACTTGCCAAAGGATCTACAGGTGCGTTGCCGGCCTTTTAAAAAGGAATACGCCCTTTTCTTGAAGTCTTGAAGGTCGTATCGGTTCGGAAATACCGCTGACGACAGATCATTCTACAGTTTTACTGTGCGAGGCAGAAAGTTCCGGGAAAAGCGAACAGTTGTGGCCTGTCAACCATCTAGATCATGGGTGGCCAACAATCCAAGCCATCTTGGCAATTAAAAAATATTTAATAGAAAGAAGAAAGAAAGAAAAAACATTTATTTAGCACCAGGCACGATGCAGCATAAATAAAAAATAAAAAAGACAATCAAGATGTGACAGTGGAAGTAATAAAAACATAAGAGTTGAAAAATTGAAACAGAAGAATTAGAAGAGAGACGCTGACAACATGCCTATGCTAAAAGGGTCACCCACTCAGTGTAAGCCAGGCATACAGGTTACCCAGCACTGATTTTCACTGCAGGGGTAGTGACGCACGGATGGTAGCAACGTTGCTTGTATGGTTGTATGGTTACGTAAACACATTGCACAATGATATTACCAACTGCAATAATATTACCACGAATAATTTGAAGTTTTATATTTTACCTCATAATAAAATAAAAGTACTACATAATTGTGTACGAATTATGCTGTTTCATTCCAGATTTCAAGTAATAATGTAATTGGTAGATCGTACTAGGTATCGTCAGGGAAAATCGATCTTGGGGCTAAACAAGTTGGTCATCCCTGATCTAAATGATGGGTAATGATGGTGATGGGTAAAAGACGCGGCAGCTATCATACCAAACAATTCCTCAGATCACTCCCCGTAGTATAAGCGATAGAAGATGCACAGTGACGATTTTTACCCACGCCCTCCCCTGTTGCGGGCCTTAAGCTACATCTCTACACATTGCCAAAGTGTCCAGTCAGTTTAAAAAATATATTTTCTGAAGGATCAAGTCCCACACCGGTTCATAACATACGGATACCCCGCATCAAAAAGAGACAGATGCCGGAATACTGAAACGTTACTCAATTTTAAGTCGCGCTTAAATATCTTACCATCTCTGTCATATCACAAAGAATTTGTGGAGATAGAACTATACTTAAGCACGACTTATTAGTAGCGTTTCAGTTTTCCGGTAAGAGATTGCATTCACTAATTACCAAGTTTTTAGGACATTGCTTTAGAAAGGAAATCAAAAATATATTTTTTTTTATACTTTATAGGTCGACGTTTGACCACCATCTCGCCTGATGGTAAGCGATGATGTGGCCGACGATGGAGCACGCCTACCTATGAGCAACCTGTTCACTCGGGCCTTGAAGACACCCAAGTCATATTTGACGGGAAACACAGCCTCTGGCAAGGAATTCCATTCCTAAGCGGTTCATATAATATTAATCATATTAATCAACGACACTTTCATACACCGTACACATAAAAATAGAAGTCAGAAATTCTCAAAAAAACGTACCACTTCGATGGACAAATAATAAATTCACAAAAAATTTTGAAAAACAAATTACCTTTCCTCTTTAAAAATTTATTCGAACGTCTCACTAAAACCTTTTTATCCCCAACCTTGCGTACAGTGTTGCCAGTTTTCGCTGGGATTTTTCTCATGGCAACATTATTCTTTTTTTTATTCGCCGGTACCGTACGTTTTTTGATGCGCGATGCAAGCGGTAGTGATGTTTTCGAAACTTTAGCTAAAGGTGAATTTTTTTGTGTTAGTTTTTTTAAAGATGATGGACGAAGCTGTGAAACGGTATTGCAAGATTATTTTAAGATATGTAGTATTATTATCGACACAGGGGCGAATTAAACCTTGAAAGCGCCTTAGGCAAGTCTTTTTTATGGGTAAGCCGGTAAACGAGCAGACGGATCACCTGATGGTAGGCAACCGGCGTCGCCCATGGACACACGAAACACCAGGGGCGTTACAAGTGCGCTACCGGCCTTTTGGGGATTTATTTACTACATTCTTATACGACAAAATAAAAAATACGTGTCTAATATTTTTTCATTATCTAACTGACGGACTTATTACATATTAAATTTTCATACACTGTCTACTACCTTGTTTAAAACACGGTTGTATTGTGAAATCAATCTTAAATAGTCTTGCAATAACGTTGAAAATATTAGTGTCTGCAATGACATATTACGCTAGAAAAGAGCAAGAAAGCACAAATATAAGGACAGACTGCAGAAAATTATGAAAATTATCTTTGCTCGATCCAAAAATGGGGCTTTTTTCTAACCAGAGGCCTTATTACGAGTTTAATTTACGTTTAAAGTATTAGCAACGAGTACGCGTTCAGCGCTCTGAGTGCCAAGCACGAATAACTATCGCATTCGTAACGTAATAGTATCGAGCGCGTTCGGCGCTCTGATTGGCCGGCTCAAGTGAACCAACCAATCAGAACGCTTAACTCGCTCGATACTGTTACGATACGAATGCGATAGTTATTCGTGCTTGGCCTTCTGATTGGCCGGCGCCAATGAACCAACGAATCAGAGCGCCGAACGCGTATTAGTTTTTTTTTTTAAGGGGGGAAATCATTGAATGACTGCCCCCGCCTGGGTGAGGCGGGAGGGAGTGTCAGACTCATACTGACTAAAAACCACCCCGTTCCTTCCCCTGCGCGTCGAGCTGGAGCCCCGGTAACCCGTGAGGTTCACCGCGACTCCGAATCGGCATCGGCCCTGTTGGACCCCATCCGTGGTGGTCTGATGGCTCTTTGAGCGATAGCGCGCGCGGAACGTGACGCGCCGTACGCTCGGGTCTGTTTCTGGTGTGTCGCCCGGTGTGTCCTTCGCGATGGCCTCACGCGTCCCACCTCCTCCTTAGCTAGCATGACTGCTTCGCAAAAGGAGGAGACGGCATCCCAGTCCCCCTCGCTCCGCATCATGGCCTGCACTAGGCCCGGACGCGAGAGGTCGCCATCGCCGATCACTTCCCTGAGGGCACGGCGGTGCTCAGCCCACGCAGGGCGAATGCCTTGCGTGAGCTGAGCAGTACTGGAGCGGAATCGCTACAGTGTGTTCCACCGTGTCACGGTCTTAGGAAGGCATTTTTGATCGTCACCTTGTTCAACATAGGGCCTAGTACCAGTTTATTTAATATTTGCCAAGATCGAAACGTTACCACGTCCGACACTCTGGAGACCTTAGTACGAATTTCTTTTACATTTGAATGAATGGAAACGAGACAGATCGGTGCTGATTGGTTGATTCATTGGAGTCGGCCAATCAGAGCCCCCATCGCGGTCTCGCTTACATTTTTTATGGCATAAGCCGGTAAACGAGCAGACGGATCACCTGATTGTGAGCAATCGGCGCCGCCCATGGACACATACATAACATTATCATGCCTTTGTCCTCGAAGGGGTAGGCAGAGGTGCACATCATACCACTGTACAATGTAACACCCACTTTTCACTATTTATGTTATAAGTCCCATGTAATAGGGGGTGAGCCTATTGCCATTTACCGGGCACAGATCCAGACTCCGTGCTAATACTATTGAGATTTTTTTAAAAACCCAGTAATACTTTGCCCGACCCGGGAATCGAACCCGAGACCCCTTGCCCGGCCCTTGCGACCACTCGGCCAACGAGGCAGTCAACAAACCCCAAAGGCGTTACCGGCCTTTTGTGGATTTTTAGGGAGATTGGGGAGGAGGGTATTACTTGTATTACGTTAATTAATTCTTGCTTGCTTGCTCCATTCTTGCATAATGCAATGTTAAAGTATTTATAATTAGTATCACACTTCTTCACACAAGGCTCGGAAAATTAACTTTTTAAATCACGTCGAATTCCAGAATTAGTGAAATTAGACCATAAATCAATATGTACAAGAGCTAAAACCTCTTTAAATGCGATAAAATTGGGTACTTACCAACTATACAAAATCAATACTTTTTTCGAACTGTCAAAAACGATAGTTTTCTATGAATTTTGTACGAGATTCTGTATTGTGACGTCACGTTTTTTTAGCGTCAACAGCGTAGTTATTTCTTAAAAAATTTCTGTAAAAATACTGAAATGATGTTGGTCATAAAATCAATTAATGAAAGTGTGATTACTTTTTAATATTTTATTGTATTGAACAGTCGAAATAATTTATTTTTGATTAAGAAAGTACCCAATTTTAATATTATATTAGTTACACACAATAGTATACACATTGATGAGTGTGATGTACCCCGAGGGGGTAGACTGAGGTCCACATAATATATAATGTAACACCCACTTTTGTTATGAGTCTCATGTCATGGGGTGCGTTTTACACAAAGCACAATTAATGGCATCGTGTTATTATTGATTAAATTTCTTAAACTGGATAATAAACCCAATATATCTATTAACCACAGATCTTCTTTTTTCATTAATATACATAAATTTTAATTTTTATAACACCCTATACATAAAAACAACAAAAATACATACCTCCTGTAGCTCGGCGTTTATATTCCCGTTTGGCTTTCCTCTCCAAAGCTTCTGTGAATGAAAAAATAATAATAATTGAAAAACAAGAAAAGTACAGAAAAAAGACATTATCTCACTTCTCCTCGCATATAAGAAAGAGATAGAAATATTCATCTTTTTGATTACCTATGTGACAAAAATAGGTTATCTAACAATGCCTAAAAGTTCAAGTGGACAATCTCTACATATGCTGTGAACATTAGCTCATGACGATACCTAAGTACGTGTGTCGTTGACAAGTCAACCTCGCTACCATCAGTTGACTGGACAATACACTACATGAGCTGATTACATGTGAACATTAGCTCATGACGATACCTAAGTACGTGTGTCGTTGACAAGTCAACCTCGCTACCATCAGTTGACTGGACAATACACTACATGAGCTGATTACATGTGAACATTAGCTCATGACGATACCTAAGTACGTGTCGTTGACAAGTCAACCTCGCTACCATCAGTTGACTGGACAATACACTACATGAGCTGATTACATGTGAACATTATCTCATGACGATACCTAAGTACGTGTGTCGTTGACAAGTCAACCTGGCTGCCATCAGTTGACAGGACAATACACTATATGAGCTGCTATTAAAAAGGCAAAATATGCATGCATGTTAGAAAATTTATATGTAAAGCGACATTCAAGCATGATTAAAGCTAGGATTAATTATGTACTCTGCTTAGTCCCCTAAGCTATTTAGCGTAATGTTATAAAGCCTATAATCTTCCCTAAGAATAGTGCTATCAGATGTAAAAAGAATTATTCAAATCGGAGAACTACTTCCAGAGATTTAAGCGTACAAACAAACTTATTATTATTACAATTTTGAACAAGATCCTTGACAGCAAGTAACAGTCCAGTGTAGACTATGAGCCTATGAGGACTACATAAGAGGGTTTGTCATAATCTCTGCAGGCAGGCGGGTTGGAGGTCGCAGTATAAAAGGTTCAGGTTTATCAGAGAGCGCTGCTGCACGGTCTCTGTCTAATTTGTATATGTAGCGCGCTAGGGAAGTGCTGAGAGAATTTACTCAATAATATAAATAAACCATCGATCCGCCCCGGCTTAGCACGGGTGAAATATGCATGTATTATACATATAAACCTTCCTTAAGAATAACATAATAAAGAGAAAAAAATGTACTAGATTTTAGTAGGAAATCGCAGGCAAGGTCTACTTTTTTGTATATACATTTTAGAACATGCAATCTTTAAAACCTACTAAAAATTGGTATTTTGGTACAAAAAATACTTTTTTTAATATTTTGTTGGTCATGCAATCTTAAAACTTACCTTCGGGTGATGTGGTTCCATCTGATTGGCAAGGAAAGAGAGAAAGAAATATTCAATCACATTGAGGGGTAGGCAGAGGTGCACATACGCAATGTAATATCCACTTTTTGTCAGTTATGTAGTTTTTGTAGGCCGATTATTTCAGCATCAGATAAATTTTAACTGAGAAATAATTTTAAATATTTGACAATTCTTCTATACTAAAAACTGTCAAATGTCTATTTTATTCTACAGTTAAGAATTAACTGACGATTGAAAAATCAGCCCTAAGTGTAGTTGCTTTTTTTAATAATAATACATAACATACATACATAACATCACGCCTTTTATCCCCGAAGGGGTAGGCAGAGGTGCACATTATGCCACTGTACAATGTAACACCCACTTTTCACTATTTATGTTGAGTCCCATGTAATAGGGAGTGAGCCTATTGCCATATACCGGGCACATTTCCAGACTCCGTGCTAGTACTGAGATTTTTTTTTTAAACCCAGTAATACTTTGCCCGACCCGGGAATCGAACCCGAGACCCCTTGGCCGGCAGTCACACTTGCGACCACACGGCCATCGAGGCAGTTAGTTAAGAATTGTGTATTTTCCTGGGTCAAAAATAAATTATTTTATTTTTCAGTCCAATGAAAAATAGTTACACTTTCATTCATTGATTTGCCGATATACTTAATTTTCAATTTATTCTATCTTCTTCTTTTTATATATAAGTGTGCTATTTGACGCGAAAATATGATGACGTCATAAGATGGTATTTCGTACAAAATTCATAGAACAGTATCGTTTTTGACGTTTCGATAAAAGTATTGAATTTGACTAGTGGTCAACTACCGTATTAACTGACGATTGAAAAATCGGCCCTAAGGGTAGTTGCTTTTTTTTAATAATAATTCGTCTATATGTACGTATGTTTGTTTTACACGTACCTATAGCACAAATGGTCTATGTCCAGCTGTGGACTAACGTCCAGTTTCTACAACCCATCTATCTGTAGATTTGCTTACTACAGATAGAATTTTGACACATTTTGTATGGAGCTCATGTCAAAATTCTATCTCTAGTAAGCAAATTTACAGATAGATAGGATAGAAACTGGACGTAATACAGGCTGATGATGATGATGATAACATAGCAAAACATCACGCCTTTTATCCCCGAAGGGGTAGGCAGAGGTGCACATTATGCCACTGAACAATGTAACACCAACTTTTCACTATTTATGTTACGAGTCCCATGTAATAGGGGGTGAGCCGTTTTCACTGCTACTTTAGATAAAATTAAAGTATTTACAGGACATTTTGACATGAACAAAACCCCTGACAGATACTAAAATTATATATATACAAAAAATATACACACAGTTAAAAATATTTACAAAAAAAACCGTGAATTATTTACAAAAAAAAGTGGTTAGTAACGACACCTTATAATCACCCAAGGGGTACAAAGAAGTGCATATATACAATATAAGATCCACTTTTCACTAGTATGATATGAGTCCCATGTAATGCGAGACACAAGTTAGTAGGTTAGTAAAAGCCAATTGCAAAAAACAAAAAAAAAACGGTGAAAAATAAACAAAAAAAAAAAAACAAAAAAATTTACCTAACTCCCTAGCTCTTTTTCTAGCTAGGTATTCTGGGCTTGTTTTGTCCACGCGTGGACGTCCACGCTTACGTTTTTCCCCACTTTCCGGGGTCCGACTATTCATCATTGCCGCTGAAAAAAAGAAATTAAGAGAAAAAAAACATAAGATAAACAAAAAAAAGAAAACAAAAAATAATTCGCAATGGTTGGCTCCTTACATCATTCTTTAGCTTACATCATATATTTAAAAAAAATGATTTTTTCCAAGATTTGATTTCAATTTCAGAAAGGCTGAAATATTGCCAGATTTAACTGCAAAAACACTCTTATTTAGTTCCATAAACGATGGCGTCAACCTATGGCCATATACAGGCGCACGTTTAGACACCACTGACAAACGGTGAAGAAAAACATCGTGAGGAAACCAGGCTTTATAATTTCTAATTATAAGTTTGAAATCACCAACTCGCTCATTGAGCAAGCGTGGTGATTAATGCTCAAACCTTCTCCGTGTTTTTTTTATAGCATAAGCCGGTAAACGAGCAGACGGAACACCCGATGGTAAACAACCGGCGTCGCCCATGGACACATGAAACACCAAGGCGTTACAAGTGCTTTACCGGCCTTTTGGAAATTGGGAATTTGAGGATTGTGGAGGATTCGGGGATTCGGGAGACTAGGGTGTCTAGGGTAATAGGGCCTCCGGTAACCTCTCTCACAGGACGAAACACAACGCAAGTGTTGTTTCACGTCGGTTTTCTGTGAGGCCGTGGTATCACTCCGGTCGAGCCGGCCTATTCGTGCCGAGTGCGAAGAGACCTTTGCTCAGCAGCGGGCACTTATAGGCTGTTGTTGATAATGATAATAATGATGAACAAAAAGTAGGTTGCTTACCCATTTCTTTGGCTTGTTTCCGAGCTGCGAGATTGGCCAGATATTCAGGGCTGGTCTTGTCAACTCTTGGGCGACCACGCTTTCTTTTGACAGGGGTCGGAGGCTCACTCGATTCAGGAGTGTATGAACTCGCTGTAAATGAATACTTTTATAATAACTATCGTGAGACATATTAAACATCGCGAGTTATCGACGTGAATATACTGAGAAAAGCCGATCCGCAGAGGGACTCTTCCTCATGAGCGGCTTGCGAGATCACGGCGATGTCGTGCAGCCAGTAAACGATAGCAGCTAGTAGATTTTTTCTCAGTATATTCACGTGAGTAATCCGCAGTATCACGGGTAAAGGGCTGGACCGATTTCACTAATTCTTTTTTATTGTAATTGTTGTTCTATGGAAAAGGTTCTTAAGACAGAACAAGTTCTTAAAATCCTACGGTAACGGGAGGAAACGGGATTGCGCGTACGAAGTCGCGGGCAGAGGCTAATTAATATTATAGACACGAATGTGTGTAGGGCGGCAAAATAGCAGACGGATCACCTGATGGTAAGCAATTGGCACCGTCCATGGACACCCGCAATACTAAAGAAGTTACTAGTGTTGGCAGCCTTTTGGGGGTTATGAATTTGTGGAATACGGATTTGGGGAAGGGAGGTAGGGCCTCCGAGTACCCCCTCTAATGCGGCAATACACAACGTAAGCACTGTTTCTCGCTAGTTTTCTGGTCGTTGATGGTATCACTCCGGTCGAGCCGGCCCATTCGTGCCGAAGCATGGCTCTCACACGTATAAAGCCTGCGCAAAAGCTTCTACGTCTATCTTAGAAGGCTGGCGTTAGGTGAATGGATCAAGGGTCTGATACAGAAGGCAGTTCCATGAAACGGCGCACGTCGTGAGAATGTTTCTGCCTCTGGAGCCCTAACCACCGATAGCTTGAACAGTGGACTATGCACCCGATACCGGGCACTTCCCATTTGCATATCATTCTTATATTATTGTCTTTTTTTATATTTCAAACATTTAAATAAAAGTTATAATCTATATAAATAAAACAGAATTTCCGTTTTTTTATATGGCATAAGCCGGTAAATGAGCAGACGGATCACCTGATGGTAAGCAATCGGCGTCGCCCTTGGACACCTGGGGCATCAGAGGCGTTACAAGCGCGTTACCGGCCTTTTGGGGATTAGGAGTTTGAGGATCGATAGGGATTCAGGAATTGGGAAGATTGGGGAAGGGGAGGGTAATTAGGCCTCCGGTAATTTCACTCACACGACGAAACACAACGCAAGCGTTGCTTCACGTCGGTTTTCTGTGAGGCTGTCGTATCACTCCGGTCGAGCCGGCCCATTCGTGCCGAAGCATGGCTCTCCCACACTTCCGTTCGTTAGTCTCGCTAAAACTCGAGAACAGCTGAACCGAATTGGCTAATTTAGATCTTGGAATGTTCGTGGAAGTCCAGGGAAGGTTTAAAGATGAGAGAAATGTTTGCCGGGTCAGGTAGTAAATAAATGAATATTGCTCACCGCTGCTTATGGGTTCTTGTTTAGCCCTCGGCGCGTACAGCTCTGGTGGTACGAAGTGAGAGACTGGCGATCGGTAGTCAACGGTCAGTGGCAACCCACTAGGCACTGCGGCAGACACAGGTTGAATTAACCAATAGGATGAGGTGTCTGGCAGTGATCTGGCGTGTGATGACAGAAATACATTACCGTGGCGTCGTGGCGACGACCCTCGACGTGGATGCAGACGACCCACGCGACCACATACGAACTCAAACCATAGTACTTAAATGTATAAAACCGATATGCTTCTGGCGCGCCACGACACAGTAATGTGTCTTTGCCATGATGCTGCTTAATTTGGAATAATGAGTTTGGATGTATGAATGAAAGGAGGTATAGTTATTTGTTTTAAGATCTATGTAACTAGAGAATGTATTGTAAACCCGATTGAAAAAGAGTAACCTATGGAGTTTCTTGCTCGTTCTTCTCCATAGGAATCTATATCTTGGAATGAGCAACTAGCTTCACTTCTATTATTTTTTTTTTTGTTGACGTTCAAAGTGCCTTCCTGGTCTAATTGAAATAAATGATTTTGACTTTAACTTTGATCACTCGAACTCGGATGAATGACTGACTGGGTCTGGATGAAATTGGGTGAATGAATAGATTATGGTTTGAAAGAAAAGATTGGCTACTTTTCTTTATCTTTAGACGAATGGACATGTCGCTAGAAATATCTCTACGCTACATGAGCTGCTATATTTAATTTTTTAAATAGTCCAATGCTGGATTATGCGTGGTCCTCTACGAATGAGGTTGTCTTACGTTCAGTCTCTATAACCTATCTATCTGTAGATTTGCTTACACATTTTGTATGGAGCTCATGTCAAAATTCTATCTCTAGTAAGCAAATGTACAGATATATAAGTTATAGAAACTGGACGTTCAGTCTCAACGCAGGGAGAACAAAGTTTAAACGCTGGTGCGTTTAAACTGTAGTAGCTGTAGCCAAATGCCATTTATCGCTTGTCTACTTGTAGAATAGAAAACCAAATTATATGGGATTGACGTAAATTTTGACACTTATCAGTGTCATCCCCAAACATTTTTTGTTTTCTACTCTCTCTGTAAAAAAGCGCTAAAGTGGAGTTTGGCTAAAGGCACAGGTTTCTTAGAGAGAGAGCTGCAGCATACTCTGCAGTTCCTTAGTCGGGTATGTGACACCCACGTGAAGAGTAACGGTGGTGAAGAATACAATTATACTCTCTTAAGAATGGGAGAAGTAGTGGTGATGAATATAGAGATACTGTCATAGAAACATATGTTTTCTTACCTTGATTTAACCCATATAATTCTCCGTTATGATCCATTTTGGGCTTCTTGTCGGGGGTCTGTTTCTGACTGCCTTCACTGTTCGGCGACTCTTCTCTCTTCAGCTGAGGTAGTGCAGAGTCCAGCTGACTCTCACACAACGCCATAATTAATTGATTATTTCTTCTTTATTCAGTTTCGGTTGGTAGAGCTGAAAATATCAAAGGGATTTTATTAGTTACGGTTAATTACTTGTTTGTATTGTCTGCCTCGTTGGCCGAGTGGTCGTAAGTGCGACTGCCGGGCAAGGGGTCTCGGGTTCGATTCCCGGGTCGGGCAAAGTATTACTGGGTTTTTAAAAAAATCTCAGTAGTAGCACGGAGCCTGGAATTGTGTCCGGTATATGGCAATAGGCTCACCCCCTATTACATGGGACTCATAACATAAATATTGAAAAGTGGGTGTTACATTGTACAGTGGCATAATGTGCACCTCTGCCTACCCCTTCGGGGACAAAAGGCGTGATGTTATGTTATGTTATGTTGTATTGTAACTTTCGTAAGACATACTAAATAAATTATTATGTTTTCGGCTTACTCACACGTAATAATTTGACGAGGAACTCGACTAGTTTCAAGCCATGCTAGAGGCTCATATTCATGAGCAGCATTTCGCGACCCGCGACGCGGCGACTGTCGCGTTGCTACTGGCTTGAAACTAGTCGAGTTCCTCGTCAAATTCTTACGTGAGTAAGCCGAAAACATAATAATTTAACTTTTGTGGCGACACAAGTCAACGGATGACGTCACAAGAATTCTACATCGCACATGCAAAGTTTACAAGCGAATAAACACGGATAGAAAATCCCAACGAACAACTGTTGGGCAGAAAGCCCGCCAGGCACGATCACCTCGCCTGGTCGGAGGATCCTCCTTTTCCGATCTTAGGGAACTATACTCTCTGTTCCCTAAACTTTAAAAGGAAGAGGTTCTCATCTTGACCTTTATGTATGTATGTATACATGTGTGTGAGTTAATCTCGCGATTGGTTGACCCGATTTTGATACGGTTTCCAGAAAGATATCTGTTACACTTAGGAGAAGGTTTTAATCCTCTGAGTTTGTTTCGGCATTTCTTCTCAGAGTAGCCAGTTAGGAAATGTCGACCTCATCGTTCGCTTGATAAAATTGACGTGTAAAAGTGCTGCCTTGTAGCCTATTTGTAGAAATTAATTCACTTGTTTCACTTGTACCTACATTAATTAACCGACTTTAAAAAGAGAGGGCGTTGAAGTCGATTTTTTAAACGCAGCTGACTCCAGCAGCCAGTAGCAGCGCGACAGTCGCCGCGTCGCGGGTCGCGAAATGCTGCTCATGAATATGAGCCTCTAGCATGGCTTGAAACTAGTCGAGTTCCTCGTCAAATTATTACGTGAGTACGCCGAAAACATAATAATACATACATACATAACATCACGCCTTTTATCCCCGAAGGGATAGGCAGAGGTGCACACAGAAGTAACACCCACTTTTCACTATTTATGTCATGAGTCCCAAGTACCTACTACTTGATCAAGTTACATTTTTTTATGAGATAAGCCGGTAAACGAGCTGACGGGTCACCTGAGGGTAAGCAAACGATGGTAAACAACGCCGCCCATGGATCCCTGAAACACCTGTGATAGAGGGTGAGCCTATTGTCATATACCGGGCACAATTCCAGACTCCGTGCTACTACTGAGATTTTTTTTTAAACCGAGTAATACTTTGCCCGGCCCAGGAATCGAACCCGAGACCCCTTGGCAGTCGTACTTGCGACCACTCGGCCAACGAGGCAGCAGTTATTTAGATGACTCGTCTTAAAGTAAGTTGCCGAAGATAGAATTCGATTCATTGAACAGGCACATGTCATTTGCAGGTCTGTCAACTGTCATGGTGGCTCGGAGGTTTAAGACGCCTGCTTCTCATGCATGAGGGTGCGGGTTCGGAACCTACCAACTGCAAGTACCAATGTGACTTTTACCGGGTTATATGTACTTTCTAAGATTATTTAGACACCACTGACAAACGGTGAAGGAAAACATCATGAGGAAACCTGGGCTTTTATAATTTCTAATTATAAGTTTGAAATCGCCAACCCGCATTGAGCAAGCGTGGTGATTAATGCTCTAACCTTCTCCGTGTGAGAAGAGGCTTTGCTCAGCAGTGGGCGTTTATAGGCTGTTGATGATGTCATTTGCAACCGCGAAAAAGGGTTTGAGATTAAGCTAAAAATCACGGGTTACTTGCGTGAATATACTGAGAAAAGTTATATTCACGCCAATTCACCAGCCAACGACAACGCTAGCCGGTAGGTTTTTCATTACCTAACTGACGGACTAATTAGATTTTTAATGTTCATACCCCGTCATCATCCCTATTATTGATAAACCCTACAATACTTTAACCTGACCCGGAATTCGACCACATACACTTGTCAACTAGCTTTTAATAACTGAACCCCAAACATGACCCAGGCCCTTAAAATACAAACAGGTTAAGTATGTACCTGTTCATTCTTAAGGGGACTGTTAGGTAATTCTTAAACTGGTATTGTCAAAATGCAACAATAGGACCCCGACCCTACAGTACTAGGACCGTATCTCCACCTGTTGTGCAACAGGTATTTTTTTTAAGGGGCGAAAATCATCGAATGACTCTTACTGACTAAAAACCACCCCGTTCCTTCTCCTGCACGTCGAGCCGGAGCCCCGGTTACCCGTTACGTTCTCCGCGACACAGGTATCAAGTTACATTTTTTTTATGAGATAAGCCAGTAAACGAGCTGACGGATCACCTGATGCTAAGCAAACGATCGTAAACAAAGGCCACCCATGGACCCCTGAAGCACATGTAATAGGGGGCGAGTCTATTGACATATACCGACTCCGTGCTACTAACTACTGAGAATATTACTACTTCTATGAAAAAATAACATAACATCACGCCTTTTATCCTCGAAGGGATAGGCAGAGGTGCACATTAGGGCACTTAATACCACTGTACAATGTAACACCCACTTTTCACTATTTATGTCATGAGTCCCATGTAATAGGGGGTGAGTCTATTGCCATATACCGGGCACAATTCCAGACTCCGAGCTACTATTGAGGATATTACTACTACTATGAAAAATAAACATAACATCACGCCTTTTATCGCCAAAGGGGTAGGCAGAGGTGCACATTATGGCACTTAATACCACTGTACAAAGTAACACCCACTTTTCACTATTTATGTTATGAGTCCCATGTAATAGGGGGTGAGTCTAACTATTGCCATATACCGGGCACAATTCCAGACTCCGTGCTACTACTGAGAATATTACTATATACTACTAAAAGAAATATTATATTGTTAATTGGGCCCTATTAGAGATAATTAAGTCACATTCGCGTTATTATTGTTTTTTGGTCCCTAATATTCGTAGGGTAACGGAGTTTAGGGTGAGTATGGGTTCGATTTCCTGGTCAGTATCGATTTCCGGCGAAATAAGATAAGGGTGTAAACGTACGAGGATAATATGGACATTATTTTTTTGTTTGGATATGCCCCTGGGTTTTTAACATAATACACTATAATAATTGGGTACTTGCCAACTAGCCAAATTCAATAATTTTTCGAACTGTCAATAACGACAGTTTTCTATGAATTTTGTACGAGATTGTGTATTGTGACGTCACGTTTTTTAGCGTCAAACAGCATAGTTATTTATTAAAAATTGCTGGCAAAATACTATAATTAAATTTATCATAAAATAATGAATATAAAATAATGAATGTGTGATTATTTTTTAATATTTTATTGTATTGAACAGTCGAAATAGTTTATTTTTGATTAAGGTAAATACCCAAACGTTCGCGCGGTTTCACTCGCTCTGCTCGGCTCCTTATTGATCGTAGCGTGATGTTTTATAGCCTATAGCCTTTCTCGATAAATGGACTATCCAACACAAAAAGAATTATTCAAATAGGACCATTAGTTTCTGAGATTAGCGCGTCCAAACAAATGTATACAAAGATTTTGTTGACATTCAACAGTGGCTTCCATATAATTGATTTTGAAAGATCCCGCGGTTTAATCCGCGTATTCTCATTTTATCCCATGGGAGCATTTAATCAGGATAAAAATTATGTATCCTACCACCTAAGTCAGCTCATACCCTGCCTGTATACCAAATTTCATAAAAATCCATTCAATAGTTTCAACGTAATTGACGGACAAACATACAAACATTCAAACAAAGAAACATTCACATTCATAATATTAACTAGTGTGATGCAAGGATTTTATTAAGGGGGGGAAATCATCGAATGACTGCTCCCGCCTGGGTGAGGTGACTAAAAACCACCCCGTTCCTTCTCCTGCACGTCGAGCCGGAGCCCCGGTAACCCGTTAAGTCGTCCGCCGCGTGATGATAGGGTTAACATTATAACATTTTTAATTTTACATACATACATGCCTTTCTCCCATGGGGGTAGGCAGAGACCATGAAACGCCAATTACTACGATTCCTACATACCTCTTTCGCTTCATCAACAGCCATCAATCTTTTTATGAATACTCGTCGGTTAGGGGTACTTTTAAATTGGCTATTTTTTTTATATATCGCCAATCTGGTTAGTATATCCGTCTAGGGCGCCCTCTACCGACAGCCCCATTCATATCCGGTCTGTATACTACTTTCATTACTCTACTTTCATCCATCCTCTCTACATGTCCAAACCAGCGTAACATTCCCCTTTCAATCCTTGCCATACATCATCTTTCAATCCACACTTCTCTCTAATAACATTTAATTTTATAAGACCTCAAAAACTCAAAAGTGACACTCTTTTTTTAAGTGGGAAAAATCATCGAATTACTGCTCCCACCTGGGTGAGGAGGAAGGGAGTGTTAGACTCTTACTGACTAAAAACCACCCCGTTCCTTCTACTGCACGTCGAGCCGGAGTCCCGGTAACCCGTTAGGTTCTCCGCGACAAAAGTGACACCCTACACAATAATGCAATATCATTAAATAAATGTAGCCAGTCAGAACTAATTATATATCAAATTAAAGTTAATGAACTCATTAGGGCAAATTATTGGTTTTTACAAACAAAACTCCAAAAAACTAGTTTATCTATATGGGGCTGCAGACGACCTTCTGGGTAACTGGGGCTCCAGCTCGAAGCACGAGTAGGAATGGCGTGGTTTTTAACCAACTTCTCACTTAACCCCTCGAACGTCCTTATGAGCACCCGGTGGATCATAAGAAAAAATGCTCCATGCTGGTTTCTCTTTTATAAAATCTATTATTAATGTTTTGTTTTTATTTTGACTGTATTTGTTTCATTTCTATTGTAATGATCCTTATTTTCGTGTGCCAATGGCCAAATGAATGCATTTTCTTTCTTTCTTTCTTTCTCCAAATGTCACGTGTGCACCCGTTGGATCATAAGGAACGCGGACGCTCGACGGGTTAAAGGGCCAGGAGAATACCAGCGCAAGGCCCTGTCTTGCACATGCTGAACAGGGGACTTACTCTTGAATCCAATACCGATCGGTAGACCTTGGTATTGTAAAATTTCGTACTCTTGAGTTATAATATCTTCTGATTCACTTCGTTGCGGGAACCAAGACAGTTACTCATGTCCCTGGGACGCGCCGGATTTTAGTGTTTTCATGGTTGTATCTACTGTAGATCCTGGCTTACAGGAGTTGCAGCGGTTTTGGGAAGCTGTGGTGAGCTTGTCCCATTAAAAAAAGTGTCTTGCTTCTTGCTCCTACCATTTACTCTTCTCTGCATGACCCAAAGGTAAGACTGGGAGAAAATGCCTGCGGCATTAACTCCGCCTTATATGTACACTTTGACTTTTGACAATATCCTGCGTGTTGCTGGAGTATGCTGGCTGGATACAGCAAAAGATCGAGAAAGATGGCACTGTCTGGAGGAGGCCTTCACCTCAGGGGTCCCCTCAAACTAAACTTTTAATCACTACTAGTCACTACATAGTATAAAACAAAGTCGCTATCCACCGCCTGCTGTCCCTATGTATGGTTAGATCTTTAAAACTACGCAACGGATTTCGATGCGGTTTTAATAGATAGAGTGATTCTTAAGGGAGGTTTATACATATGTATAATACATGCATATTGCACTCATGCGAAGTCGGGGGCGGGTCGCTAGTATAAAATAAAATATATATTTTTTCGAATTGGGAAATCGGACCCTTTTTTTTCTTTTGTTATTACTTTTATTATATAAAATACTTAAATAAATAAATGGACGATTCTGCTATCTCAAAAAACAACCAGTTACATCATCACCAGTCAGTGACAGTCCACCGCTGCACTATGAGTGTCCTCTACATAAGAGGGTTTGTCATAATCTCCGCAGGCAGGCGGGTTGGAGATCGCAGTATAAAAGGTTCAGGTTTATCAGAAAGCTGCTGTCTTTTATAACTTTCTATTATTTATGTTGTTATTTGTCGACCAATCTTCATCATTTAGTTTATGATGGACTGACTGACAAACAATTTTATGTCAATGTCAGTCAAAGTTGTTTTTATTGTGGTTGTGTGAGATTTTGTTTACATTTTTCTCTTTAAATTAAAGATCATACATGCAGTAGATATATATAAGATGGGAACATATTTCTACGCATTGGCTGCCGTGTCGGACAATGTTGTCCGACGCTAGCGGAGGATTAGCCTTTAACAGTTTTTGTCGGCAGTTAAAGGCTTAAAAAGATTTTGCCCTACACTACAATTTTCCTCTGTGTCGTCAGTGTGTTTACAAATTGGTACGGGAGCCAGCAGGTCAATCTATTCTTTTCCATCAAATTTCTCTATTACATACATACATAACATGACGCCTTTTATCCCTGAAGGGATAGCCAGAGGTGAACATTATGCAACTGTACAATGTAACACCTGTAACACCTACTTTTCACTATTTATGTTATGAGTCCCATGTAATTGGGGGCGCGCCTATTGCCATATACCGGGCTCAATTCCAGACTCTGTGGTACTACTGAGATTTTTTCAAAAACCCAGTAATACTTGATGTTTGTAAACGCACCCACGATGCAGGAGAAAATCCTAGAGTGGGACAACATTTAAACAAAAAAAAACTGCCCGACCCAGGAATCAAACCCAAGACCCCTTGCCCAGCAGTTGCACTTGTGACCACTCGGCCAATGAGGCAGTCATTACAACGTTATTTATATATTTTACCAGATTAGGGAATTTAGATCTGATAGCCTTTGTATCCTAGTACTTTCAGATACAAATCACACCCAAACCCGGACACATTTTGGAGGTTTCTACTTATACTGTTAAACAATAAACTACGCATTTATACATAGATAGAATATATAAGATAGTTGTAGTGGCCTGGAGGTTTATGACACCCGCTTCTCATGCATGAGACTGTGTGTTCGAAACCTACCAACAAGTACCAATGTGACTTTTCCGAGTTATATGTACTTTCTAAGATTATTTAGACACGACTGACACACACATGGAAACATTGTAAAGAAACCTGACCTTATAATTTCTAATTATAAATTTGAAAATACCAACCCGCATTGAGCAAGTGTGGTGTGGTGTGGTGCCTTTGATCAGTAATGATTGATGAGCATGCATGGAAATACTGATGACTGTTGATGAAACGAACGAGGTATGTAAGAATATGGGACTCATAACATAAATAGAGAAAAGTGGGGGTTACATTGTATATGTTGACCTCTGTCTACACCTTTGGGGATAAAAAGGATTGATATTATGTGCAATGTGTCAGCTTTGATATTGATGATAAAAACATATAGTAAACAACCACAGGTAGATTCAAACAGGAACTGTAATGTTCCCTACACTTGCCCTAACAAAACTGGTTTATCAAAATCAGTGCAGTCGTTTCTGAGTTTTTTAGCACCATACACATTTACAAACAGTAATAAATTTATTTTAAAACCTCCTATTGAAGTTTCTATAGACTTTTGTAAAAGTTTCAAAGTGAATTTTGACATGTTTATTACTTTATAAACAGTTTTAAAGTTGTAATTTTAATTCGGTCAAACTGTTTCAGATGCATGGGAATTAATGTATTAATTGCTGTTTTTATACATGTATCAGAGATATTTCCGCGCATTTCCATCTATAGACACCATGAAAAAGGTAATTAAACGCTTATCTACAGCCTACAAAGAAATTACTTTTAGAAAACTTACCTATATCATGAAATCCCATTTATAAACAACGAACACTTAAATAAACCACTATTTTACACTTATAACGTAGAATAAAACAATATTAATTATATTACCACACAATATAAACTTAATATAACAACAAAAAACTCGATATTCTAACTTAAGTTCGCCCAGCACAATCAATTTTCTTTTGCCTGAATTCAGTCATTGAGTCAAACGCGTATTATACATTAAACTAACGTTTTCCACTCTTAACTTTTAATGATACTACATCTTTGTTGCAAAAGGACGCTTTTAAAAGTGATTACAAAAGTTTTTAACGTAGATTATCGGAGATATAAACAAAATTCACTGCGATACCAAATTTCTTCAGACGTCCATTTCATCACGAATGGTAACGCTACTGCCTACATGGGGGAGTTGAGATAGCAAATCTATTTTTGTTATGGCAACACTCTGTGTTATACGACAAAGTCCCGTTAGCACGTTGACGTCGATAGCTTGGTCCGATTCTTGATTAGAAAACACCACATAACTGATCCGTAAAAATCGTTTTTCTTGTTTTGTACATTACTTATTGATACGGAACCCTTTATTTTGTTTGATGAAATGGTAATTGGTTATTTCTATAAGGTGTTTCTGTCATTTCTTTGTGTAAAACTAAAATATTCAATTCATAAACATGTAACTCAAGCATAAACTTCGGAACGAAACTTACGAAATCGTTCTCGAAAACAGTGACTTCATAATCTTTTCAATTTATCCGTTTAATAGAAAATCAGGCTAAAATCTAAACAAAAAGCTTAGAAAAAATAACAAATACATCAAAATAATGCGCTAAAAATCTATTTTAATGTAAGAATAATTTGGTTAAATGTCTTGCTCAAAAGTTTTGTTGCTTTTTGTTGTTTAGTGAGCAACATTTTAGGGTGTGGGGCAGGAGGTGAGACAGTACGGAATAGAGATAGTTATAGGTAGGTCGAGCGTCGAGTTGGCATTGTAATAAACTACTTGACGTGTTTATCGTATAACGCGTTATCGCAGGTTCTTTGTGCGCGGTTCAGCTTCACCTTGCTACGTTCGCCTCTCAACCAGAATACTACTGACGTATTATAATCGTTTATTTTCTCATTTTTTCTAATTCCACATCTTTTGCAGATTTTTTGAAACTATCATACGTATATTTCGTCGCAAATTTAGACGTGATTTTTCGTGTTTTATCAAAGTCGAGGAAAGTTGTTTTTTAAATATTTTGTTTTTAATTTGTATTTAAATCAATCACGTGCTAATATTTCGTAATGAGGTGGTATTCGAGAGGACAAGGCGATGAGTAATAATTCTGAGCCATTTATTCACATTATAAGCGATAAAATAAATTATGTTTTCTGTTATTGTTAACTTTTTCGAAATTCTTACAAGTTAAAAACCTTCACTATGCCTAGCAACAACCTCATCTAGACACGCAAAAAGGAATAATTTTGTGGCCTTCTAACTCTATTTCTACTACAAATCATTACTAAAAGCGAATTCTATCAATGCATTCTAGGACGCTCTAATGTGGCTGTCTTACATTTCGGTTTGTTATCAAATAAAGATTAGCGAGTAGAGACAATTATCGATTTGTTTGCATGACATAGTCCGACTAAAAATCAATACGCCGATAGTTTTCCGAACAACGAACGGGCGGGGTTTGTTAGAAAGGGACAAGTGGTGTTCTACATTCAAAAAGAATACAAATATTACAATGTATATGAGTAATAATAATGCATTATTGAACTTGTTTATCTGATAAGGAGAGAGAAGTTTCGACGCGAACGCTTCGACGTAGATATTATGCGTCATTTTACCAATATAACATGGAAAGGCCGTACCTAATAGTGATTTAGATTGGTGTAGAAAACAATATAACACAGTGTCACTCACCTTTTAACTTGCAGACGTTGATAATACCGAAGAAGCAACACTATAAAGTCTTCATAGAAGTTTTTGAATATATATTTTTAAGGTTTTTATTAGATAACACTTAGGTTATGTTTCATTTTAGATAATTACGTTTTTCGTAAACTCATAATTTATAACCAGTATAGTTATTATATGCATAAATTAGCTAAATATTAAATAAAATTACTGAGGAGTTATTTGTGTGTATTAAAAATTAGATTCGAAGGAAAGATATATTGTATAAGATAAAGAGTAAAGTTTATAGAATAACAAGACATACATTGTTTCTTCGGTACGGTGCGGTATTAGAAAATCAATTATTATGTCTTTAAAAGGTAGTTAATTAATTGATCATTCATTTAGATGAGTTGCTAACCACATATTAGTCATAATTTTTTGTGCATTGGAGGAATTGGAATGTTGCTTTCTTTGTAATACAAACGTAAAATTATTGATTTTTGTTTTAAATTGTTAGATTAAGTTAAAAAAAGAAAATATTAATAAATATAACAGACTTATAGCAGCATTATGAAGCGTTTATTATTGATTTTATTATAAAATAATTATTTTCACTTAATTACATTTTTTAATGAAAAATATCTTCAATGAAGTTCAAAGTTATGATTACATGTTATTTGTATTAAATTATCAATTATATGGTTTAATAATCTTATGCTCATATAGCGTAATTTAAAACCAATCCTATTTAGTCTATACATTTATTGTAAATGTATAGACTAAATAGGATTGGTTTACTCAGTTATAAAAATACACATGACAACAATAGGTACCCCTATTCTTCGCAATGACGCATAGCACAAATATTACCATGAAAAAGGGAATTTTAAATTCTATTATGGCAACATTAAAATGCATTTCATGTGACGTTTTAAAAACGCAGACAGAGCGAGACAGAAGACAAAGTTCATTGGAAATGTCAAAAGTTCAACGAACTTGCGCATAGATAAAACGCAAAAAATATTTATTTTTGAATTTGTTTGTTTACATCTTACAATATCAAAATAATGGCTGACCAGTGACCATATTCTATTATTGGGTATCTTTAAAAATGAAACAATCGAACGAACGAAGCAAAATGACCTATAACATAAGATCACACCTTATTTATCCCTGAAGAGGTAGGCAGAGGTGCACATTACGGCACTTAATGCCACTGTACAATGTAACACACACTTTTCACTATTTAGGTATGTTATGAGTCCCATGTAATAGGGGGTGAGCCTATTGCCATATACCGGGCACATTACCAGGCTCCATGCTACGACTGTGATTTTTAAATTCTGAGGTAATTGGGCATCCGGTAACCTCACTCACACGACGAAACACAACACAACGTAGTTTCACGTCGGTCTTCTGTGAGGCCGTGGTATCACTCCGGTCGAGCCGGCCCTTCCGTGCCGAAGCATGGCTCTCCCACACTTAAAAGTCTGTACCTACCTATATGACATTTCACAGTAAGTACCTATAATAACATGCCTTTATTTCGAAATAGAACAAAGTTGACAAAGGCTAATCAAACTTCTGGTAATGCAAATGAGTATACGTATCTTCTGGCTGATGGTATGCAATCGCCTATGAACAACTGCAAAGCCAGACCAGTTACGAAGTTACGAGTGCCTTGGGGGCTTTTGAGAACAGTTGATTTGTAGCAGGAGGGGATAAGAGATTTGGGCCTCTTTTTTTTTAAGGGGGGAAAATCATCGAATGACTGCTGCCGCCTGGGCGAGGCGGGAGGGAGTGTCAGACTCTTACTGACTAAAAACCACCCTGTTCCTTCTCCTGCACGTCGAGCCGGAGCCCCGGTTACGGATTACGGATTTGGGCCTCTAGTAACTTTACTTACACGGCTTTACACAGCGCTGTAAATGTAATAAAACAGGTATTCAGGTTTCAGTATTCTGAACTCGTAGACTTTTAACATTAACTAAGTAGTTTATCATTATGTTTTCGGCTTACTCACGTAGTAATTTGACGAGGAACTCGACTAGTTTCAAGCCATGCTAGAGGCTCATATTCATGAGCAGCATTTCGCGACCCGCGACGCGGCGACTGTCTGAAGAATTTTGTTTTAAGTTTTTTTTTCTTTAGCTTTTTATTTCTTTTGTATCTCAAGAAGGAGAGTTATTATGTTCTTTCAATTTCATTCTTGTCTTATTCTTTTAATCAGATTTACATTGATACCATGGATACAATCCATCCAAACCAAACTTGGTCTCTTTATTTATTTATTTATTTTTATTTATTTATTTATAATTCATGGAAGACTTACAGCTTATAAAAATGGATAAAAATAACAATAGGCGTAGGTAACAATGAGCCAATAACAAGTCCTCACGTTTATGATCTGGAATAAATTAATTAATATGGTGTGAGTACTATACAATATTAAAAAATACATACATTCTGCATAAATGAAAAAAAAATAATAATACTGAAACAGACCGTACAGACAATATAAATAACAATATAATAAATAGATCAAGAGAAACGATAAAAAAAAACTAAATATCTAGTGCTGCTTAAAAAATTTGAGGCTTAAGCACCTCTTTGCCGAGTTCACACTAGTTGTAAACGGATCGAAGTCATATTCCTTACAAACATTGTTAAAGTGTCTGCTTGCACGCACAATGTAACTGTTCTGCCTGTAGTTAGATGAGGAACGGGATACGTGTAAAGGTGGATTAAATCTAAATATTTTATTAGGTACATTAAATTTGATTTTTGATAATAGTTCTGGACTATCCACATTGCCGTTAAGAACCTTAAACAAGAATAGACAATCTGCAATATTGCGTCTATCTACTAATGGTAATAGATGGAATTTTCTACAGAGTTCAAGATAACGGGCAGACTGGTATGGTATATTTTGGTGAAAGCAGAGATATTTTATAAAACGTTTTTGAATGTTTTCCACGCGGTCAATATATTTCTGATATCTTGGATTCCATACCTGGACGCATACTCAGCTGGCTCCTGACATAAGTGCAATATAGTATTTTAAGGGTCTTTGCATCGGTGAAGTTTTTTGAAAGACGCATTATAAATCCAAGCAGTTTAGAGGCTTTTTTGACGATTGCATCAATATGTGTATCGAAAACCAATTTGCTGTCTTGATGGACGCCTAAGTCACGGATTGTAGCGCATCTTGGTAAGGACTGACCCGCTAAAGTATAATTAGTGACATGGACAGTGCGCTTTCTAGTGTAAGTGATTACGGAACACTTAGATGGGTTGAGATCCAGTTTATTCATCCGACAATACTCTTCAAGCCGATGCAAATCCGCCTGGAGTGCCAGACCATCATCAGGAGTTGAGATAGTAGCTGACAGTTTCATGTCATCAGCAAAACATAAAAGTTTGGATGTATGAAAGCACTTGTTGATGTCGTTTACATAGATCACGAATAGAAAAGGACCGAGCAACGATCCCTGAGGTACTCCGCTGGGTACATTTACCCAGCTAGAAATGTAGTTATTGAGTACTACTGCTTGTGACCTATTGTCGATGTATGAAACATCTTTATGTAATTCTATATCCTTACTTCCTTACTATAATATTATAAATCGGAAAGTGAGTTTGTTTGTTCCACTTTCACGCCGTGACTACTAAACCGATTGCTTTGAATTTTTGCAGGCGTAAAGTTTGAAGTCCGGATTAAATAATAGGGTACTTTTTAACCCGGAAAAATTTGATATTCCCGAGGGAAAACAAAAATATTGGTATAGATAGCGCTGTGTGTATTGGTGAATGTCACACGGGCTACTTTTTATCCTTTTGTGACGCGAGCGAAGCCGCGGGTAAAAGCTAGTATTCTATAAAAGCACATTAATAGTTTGTCGCGTGCGCCGGATTTTTGTGGTACCACTCTTCAATGTGGCGCTGTGCCGACGCCGCCGTAGTGTCGATAGCGCAGCAAGGCTTTTCAATCCACGCAAATACTTTTTGTGGAATAGCACAAAGACAAAGAGTAAAGTTAATGTGTCATCTAATGGTGAGCCAGTAAGACAGTATTGTACATTTATTGATGAGAGAGGTGTCAGAATAAAATGCCTTGTTAATCCTTCAAGGCATATTATTATGCCTTACCCAATATCTAGTCAAACTTGCAATAATAAGAACAACGAAGTATATAACATTATTATCATCATTATCATCAACAGCCGGAAGACGTCCAAGTCTGGATAAAGGCGTTCTCTTTAGTCTTCCACTCGATTAGACGAAACTTGAACAAAACAAAGAATTTATTAAATTAAGTGTATTGTAGACGTAGTTACAGTAGAACTTGTTTATTTATCTACTTTAAATCAAGATGCACTCGTGCAGTACTGTAACTTGGTAAAGGGACCTTCAATCGTATCAATATTTAGTATTTAAAAAATCTTAAATGATAAAAATAATTTACACCTATTATAAAGAATTTGTAATTTCTGAACGAGTCATTAAACGTCAATATCTTATGACTCAGACGTCAAACTAACGTCAAAATAATATTTACAGACAAAAGCTCTTTGTGAAACGAAACGAGCGCTTTGTTTAAAAATAATTTATTTATAATTAATGAGCGTTAATTGTAAAACTAAGTTTGTTCTAACTAACAACTTGTATAACAGTTATTTTAATAAATAAAATTGTTTGGGAATCACGTTACATTTGGGATTTTCCAAAGATTCCTTCGCCCGATACAGTGAGAGATAAAAAAAAATTGCACCGCGTGATTTTGTGTATTGATTTCAAATAATTTGTATATAAAGATGAGTAGATGTGATTTTAAAGTCGTGTTATTAGGGAGTGAACATGTAGGAAAGACAAGTTTAGTGCTTCGTTTCGTCAGTTGCAGATTTAATGCCGATATTCCATATCAAAACGTGAGTAAATCAGTGCATAAATTATTTGTTTACATGTCAATAGTGAAAAGACTACTACGCCTATTTTTTTTAGCGAATTGCACAGTCATGCACCTATGAGGCCAATGAAGGACCTTCATACTATAAGTATGGAATTATTTTAAAGAAATTGATTCTACATTGTAGTTATATGTATGAAATGAGTAGAATATATTGTATTCCAGCATTTTTTCATTCAAATCATAATGAATTAGACAGGTTTCATGTATTTATTGTGTGTTACAATGTATTTTATCTTGATGATATCCGTTATCTTATTTATTAGAATTTCAGGGTAATCACAGGTGATTGTGAATGATACAATAGTTATATTGTTAGTAGTTATATTGTAATCTTAAATGTTCATTAAATAAATACTCTAATACTCTAAAATAATCTAATTTGTTATAACTAAACTCTATGCTTTTGATCTTATTTAAAAAAAAAATTGTAAATAAATATATGCAACTTAAAATTGACTAAAATGAATAAAGTAAATAAAAAATAGATAAAGAAAACTCTCTCATTGAATGGCAATGCTTATTTTCTGAAGCCAGCCCTTTGGTCACGAGTAGTGCCAATTAGTCTACAGGCAATTTCTTTATTATTATTAATATATTTATTTAAAATACTCTAAAGTGACATTTTAAAATACTATTTATAAAAAAGACTGCCTCGTTGGCCGAGTGGTCTCAAGTGCGACTGCCGGGCAAGGGGTCTCGGGTTCGATTCCCGGGTTGAACAAAGTATTACTGGGTTTTAAAAAATCTCAGTAGTAGCACGGAGTCTGGATATGTGCCCGGTATATGGCAATAAGCTCACCCCCTATTACATGGGACTCATAACAAAAATAGTGAAAAGTGGATGTTACATTGTATAGTGGCATTAAATGCCGCAATGTGCACCTCTGCCTACCCCTTCGGGGATAAAAAGGCGTCCTGTTATGTTATAAAAAAAATATATTCAAAAATATAAAAATATGGAGTCAACCAGTAACGGGAGCATGGTCCAAGCTAGCAAAGAGGCTGAAGAGTGAAACATGCAAACTTTTTTGGACCATGTAGGTAGATGGGGCCATGTTTATTATCTCAATAATATTATAAATACGGAAGTTTGTCTGTAAGTTTGTTAATCAATCACGTCAAAAATACTGAAGGGATTGAAATGAAATTTGAAACAAGGGTAGACGCTCTAATAACACATGCGAACCGGTGACTGTCGCAGAATGCTGCTCATGGATATGAGCCTCTACTCTAGCACGGCTTGAAACTAGTCGAATTCCTCGTCAAACATGTTCCTCACCGAAAATGTAGTAATTTATTCAGTATGTCTCACGGACATTTTAATATAAACATGGGCTACTTTTTATCATGAGGGTACATGGTTGAAGCCGCTGGCAGAAAGTAGTCCTTAATAGTGTTTAAATAAATAATTAAATATATGTGGTTGTCCATGGCCGCTGATCGCTTACCATCAGGTGATCCATCTGCTCGTTTGCCTCCTATTCCATAAAAAATAATTAAATGTGCTTAAATAGTTATAACGAAACTTATACATGTCCTACAAATTATTGTCATTAAAGAAATCATAATGGGACCCCCTATTACATGGGACTCGTAACATAAATAGTGAAAAGTGGGTGTTACATTGTACAGTGGCATTAAGTTCCGTAGGTAATGTGCACCTCTGCCTAACCTTTTGGGGATAAAAGGCTTGATGTTATGTTATGAGAAAACATTTAAATTGTAATAAGATTTCTTGAATAAGTTCGATTTTTAATTTGTTTTTTAATCTGCTATAAATTGCCTTCTGCTTATACTTATCACTACATAGTATAAAACAAAGTCGCTTTCTCTGTCCATACAAAGGGACATAGGTCCCTTTGTATGCTTAAATCTTTGAAACTACGCAACGGATTTTGATGCGGTTTTTTTAATAGATAGAGTGATTCAAGAAGAAGGTTTATATGTATAATACATTCATATTGCACTCGTGCGAAGCCGGGGCGGTTCGCTAGTTTCCAATAAAAACCATGATGATATATAGTATACAATTAAAACAACAGAGTTTTTAGTAAACAGATAAATAGCGACATTGTCCTTCAATGTATGTGATAACTGCGAAACGATTGGTTTAAAAATAAAATTATTATCTGTACTATTTGCTGACAAGCGGACGAGATTTAACTACATTTCTTGTGAAAATTTGAGATAGTTTTTTTGGGAAAGGGGTAAATCATCCAATGACTTCACCCGCCTTGGGTAAGGCGAGTGAGTGTCAGACTCTTACTGACTAAAAACCACCCCATTCCTACTCCTGCACTTCTAACCAGAGCCCCGTTAGGTTCTCGGCGACTCCGTATCGGCATCAGCTCTTTTGGGCTCCATCCGTGGTGGTCTGATGGCTCTTTGAGACGCGCGCAGAACGCGACGCGCCGTACGCTCGGGTCTGGTTCTGGTCGGGCGGCGATCCGCCCATGCTCGCCGTCCGCAGGCCCGCGTTTACGGTGGCCGGAGATCGTCCCGCGATCCCCGACGCCCGGAGTGTTCTTCGCGATGGCTGGGTTGCGAGGAGGCAGCGCTTCGCTGCCTCACGCGTCCCGCCTCCTTCTTAGCTAGCATGACTGCTTCGCAAAAGGAGGAGACGGCATCCCAGTCCCCCTCGCTCCACATCATGGCCCGCACTACGGCCGGACGCGAGAGGTCGCCGTCGCCGATCACGTCTATGAGGGAACGGCGGTGCTCACCCCACGCAGGGAAGCCTAAAGGCAGGCACAACATATTTGTTTGTATGTCTTGTGTTAATATTATGCATATCCCTATACTTTTTATATATATTTTAATGCCGGAAGCATTATAAAACAGATTGTCTAGCTACCAATATTATGAGTCATTAAATTAATGATTCATTTTAAATAGAATTGTGTATGTTTTACATAGAATAGATAAATAAAGTAGTTAAAGTAGGTATTGTTAATTACTAGCGACCCGCCCCGGCTTTGCACGGGTTCAATATTCATGTATTATACATATAAACCTTCCTTAAGAATCATAATATTTATTAAAAAAAAACCGCATCACAATCCGTTGCGTAGTTTTAAAGATCTAAGCATACATAGGGACAGACAGACGGTGGATAGCGACTTTGTTTTATACTATGTAGTGATGTAGTAATTATTCTTTGGCTTTAATTGCCTCGTTGGTCGAGTGGTCGCAAGTGCGACTGCCGGGCAAAGGGTCTCGGGTTCGATTTTCGGGTCGCTCGACGCTTGCGTAGGAGACAGAAGAACGACTCCCGCGCCGGAGTCGTGACGCACGCGCTCCGTATTTGTGCCGCGAAATAAATGAGTTTTATTATATTGTATTATTGTGCAACTTTGTTTATATACTTTCAAGTTTATTCCAATATACAGTTTTACAGTCATTCGTGTGTCGAACTTTATTTCACGTCCCTGAGAACCCACTAAGACATATTAAGTTATTAAACAAGTGTAACGCGGCAATTCGATTTTGGTTTGTGTCGGACGCACGCGCGCCACTCTTGTGGCAACACGGTCATCTCACTATTCCTCTTCCCCCGCTTCCCCGCCACTGACCACTCGACGCCTGCGTAGGAGCGTCACGCAATTCATTACATCAGAGCTAATTCTTATTATCTTGTTTTTCCAGACGGTCGGAGCAGCTTTCTGCGCTAAGACAATGCAATCAAACGGAAAGGACTTCAATGTTGGTATATGGGACACGGCGGGAAGCGAAAGGTATAATTTTTATACTATACTAGCAGCCCGTCCCGGCTTCGCACGGGGTAGTCAATTATTTATTTTTGGAAATTTGGATTGTTGTAGTGACATAACTACAATAGTTGGACATATGCTACCGCGGAGTTTTTTGTAGACATTATGATTCAATATTGTAGTACATTATTTTGTTCTATCGCTAATAGTTTCGGCAGCGCATTCGACGAAAGACATTTTAAGACTCATTTTTCTACACCTTCGGTTACATTGTTCAAATGTTACCAAGGATCCCTAATTTTTTTTTTTAAATGAAATGTAGCCCATGTCAAATTGGAAGAATGTAGCATTCTATTGGTGAAAGATTTTTTTAAATCGGCCAGTACTTTTTGAACCTATTCATTACAAACATACAAACATACAAAAATAGGTACAAATCTTTCCTCTTTATAATATTATTATAGTATAGATTTGGCCGAAGTACATTTTCGTTATTCTATAAGAGTTGTAGACCTTGTTTTTATAATAACTATCGTGAGACATACTAAATTAACTAAAAATTGCGGACTACTCACGTAAATATACTGTGAAAAGCTCTTCTAATTTCGAACCACAGATGGGTTCTTCCTCATGAGCAGCATGTGCGGTCGAGGGGATGTCGCGCAGCCTACGCTGATTTTAGCTAGTAGAGCTTTTCTCAGTATATTCATGTGAGTAACCCGCGATTTTTTAGTTAAGTTGTAGTCCTTCTCGCATTATAAGACTACATTTATTATTATATAACGCGGAAAAGTCAAATTGGTACTTGCCGTTAGTAGGTTTCAAGCCCGCCCCCTCATATATGAAAAGCAGACTTCTTAAACCTCCCCGGAGGTTTGAGACCACAACATCAGAGATAATACAACTCTGTACCAACATACTCATACCAAGACTGGTAAAAAATTGATGTCCAATCGCAAATTTTTAGGCTCCCATTGACCACGCAGTTGGAAGTCACTGAATAAATATATTTATAAAAAAACTAGTATGTAATAAACTTAACCAAACCTTACTATCATTTTCCAGATACGAAGCGATGACAAAAATATACTACAGAGGTGCTCACGCAGCGATCATATGCTACGAGCCATCATCAGCAGCTTCTTGGACCAGACTGAGGCACTGGCTTCAGGAACTGAGAGGAATTGAGGAGGTAGGCACTCTTGAATTCATTTAGTGTTGGTTAGATTTCTAGGCTGTTGATTTTTGAGGAGTTACAATGACAAAGGGGTAAGGGTTCGATTGCTAAGATTGGTTCGATTACTGGAAAAGTTTCGAAAAACCCTCCAGATACTTCAGATACCATTAGGTAATAGGTAATGACATGGTCCGGAAGAAAATTATGAAGTTTTTGTAAAATTGTTCCCCGTAAATGGCAATAAATTGACTACCACTGCCACGGTATTGTGAAAAGTGGGTGTTATATTCTTAAATGACCCTACTTTTTTGATTAAAAAAAGTTGCATTAATGTTATGTGTAACAATATGCACGGATGGCGCAATGACTGCAACTGGCTGCCGCGCACATCGCGAGTTCGATTCCCGCACGGAACAACTCTTTGTGTGATTCATAAATTATTGTTCCGGGTCTGGGTGTCATGTGTATGTGATGAACTTGTAAAGGCACCCACGACACAGGAAAATATCCTAATGTAGGGCAACGCTTTATATAAATAAATAAAAAAATCTGAAATCCATAGTCCACATTATCAAATCTTTGGATCGGTCTAAATTTTATTACACAAATGAAGTCAAGCAGAGTTCTCAAACTAAAGATTTTGTATAGATATCGCATATTATTATTAATTACACCTAACTTTGTTGGCCTTGGCCGAGTGGTCGCAAGTGCGATTGCCAGGCAAGGGGTCTCGGGTTCGATTCCTGGGTTAAGCAAATTTATTACTAGACTTTTAAAGAAAATCTCAGTAGTTGCACGGAGTCTGCAACTGTGCCCGGTATATTTATTTATTTATTTATAATCTGGACAACCAGTTGTTGCTACATTAGGTCTTATATCTAAGCACTTACATTGTAATAAATTTTAAATGCACAACATTTTAAGGTGTCACAACATGCACAGCAGCCTAACGATGACACTTTTATCAGTATTTGAGACGATTGGAAAATAAAATAAAAACTAAGAAATACTTAAAATTAAAACATAAAATAAAAAATCTAAATACACATCAAAAATCTAAATCTATATGGCAATAGACTCACCCCCTATTACATGCGACTCATAACATAAATAGTGAAAAGTGCGTGCTACATTATAGAGTGGCATTAAGTGCACCTCTGCCTATGTAATTTCACCCGTTAATCAAATAACTTCGCAATCTTTTCCAGAACTGCAAAGTATACCTATGTGGGACTAAGAAGGACCTTCTAGACGGCGGGTACGTGACGAGGGAAGTACCAGAGGACACGGTGGCAGCTTACTCCCAAGGTCTTTGTGGACATTACTTCACTTCTAGCAAAACTGGGGAGAATGTTGGTAAGTTGTCTATAAAGTATAACGAATTTTAAGTGTGGGAGAACCATGCTTCGGCACGAATGGGCCGGCTCGATCGGAGTGATACTACTGCCGAGCAGAAAACCGACATGAAGCAACGCTTGCGTTGTGTTTCGTCGTGTGAGTGAGGTTACTGGAGGCCCAATTACTCCGAGACCTCCTCAATCTCTCGAATCCCTGAATCCCCAAAAATCCTCAAAAGGTCGGTAATGCACTAGTAACGCCTCTGGTGTTGCGGGTGTCCATGGACGACGTCGATTGCTTACTATCGGGTGAACCGTCTGCTCGTTAACCGGCTTATTTCATAAAAAAAACATTGCTAGTGAACAGTGGCTGTCAGGTTGTGTATGTTCACCCTTTTTTTTAAGTGTGGGAGAGCCATGCTTCGGCACGAATGGGCCAGCTCGACCGGAGTGATACCACGGCCTCACAGAAAACCGACGTGAAGCGTCGCGTCGTCGTGTGAGTGAGGTTACCGGAGGCCAAATTACCATCCCCTTCCCCAATCTCCCCGATCCTTGAATCCCCAACGATCCTCAAACTCCTAATCCCCAAAAGCCGGTAACGCGCTTGTAACACCTCTGGTGTTGCGGGTGTCCATGGGCGATGCCGATTGCTTACTATCGGGTGATTGGTCTTGGGAAGAATCATCCAATGACTTCTCCCGCCTTGGGTTAGGTGAGAGGTAGAGTTAGACTCTTACTGAGTAAACACCACCCTGTTCCTACTCCTGCATTTCGAGACGGAGCCCCGGTAACCCGTTAGGCTTTCCACGGCTCCGATGTACACCGCTGCTTATTGCTTCGAGGATTCGAATTAGTTATCGTAGTAGATTTAGCTTACACACCCTTTAGAATCAGTACTTTAATCACAGCTTTACAACAAGGATTCACTCTCGATAGTTTCATTACACATAACATCACGCCTTTTATCCCCGTAGGGGTAGGCAAAGGTGCACATTATACCACTGTACAATGTAACACCCACTTTTCGCTATTTATGTTATGAGTCCCATGTAATAGGGGGTGAGCCTATTGCCATATACCGGGCACAATTCCAGACTTCGTGCTACTACTGAGAATTTTTTAAAAACCCAGTAATACTTTGCCCGACCCGGGAATCGAACCCGAGACCCTTTGCCCGGCAGTCGCACTTGCGACCACTCGGCCAACGAGGCAGTCGACAGTTTCCTATCGCATAAAAACTACTGGACTTATTTTTAACGACTGGATCCTAAGGGCTCGCGACTCGGCCGCTCTGCGACGGAATCACGTTCGTACAAGCTCAAAGGCAAGTTCAAACCAAGCAGCGGCGACGTGGAACAAAAGATCGCCGCCGCGCGCCTTTGATTTTCGTGTCTGAACTTGCCTTTTCGATATGGTTCGGACAAGTTTGGAATACGTCGCGGGCGGCTCGCGGCCTAGCATTGCCGTCGTGCACAATATCTATATTCTACAAAGGCTGCGCGCTCGCAACCGCGGCAGGCTTGAGAAAATATCGCGCCGTGAGTCCTTAGCCTTCGAAAAGTATGGTTTGACATAGGAAGCTGAATAGACGCGAAATTAAAAACCCAAGTCGTGTTCGGGAATTCGGTAGTTGTTTCGTGGATATGTTTAAAAAAAGTGACATTTTAAATCAAAATAAGTTTCCATTTTCCTAAATCATTCATGACTTTTTTATTTTCATTTCAGACGAATTATTTCAAAAAATAGTTGACGACTGTGCTGCCGATGTCCAGTTAATGAAAAACGTTGAAGACATGAGGCTACAGCTCCAAAAAGACGAGGCAGCTTACAAAGCGAAAAACAAAGACTACTGTTACTGTTGAAAAGACCAGAAGACTGAAAAGACCGTGGTAAAAGTGTCTCAAAATTATCAAATAAGTAACTATAAAAGTATTGTATCGTCACAAAATATAAGCACAGTAGACGAGAAGACCGGTAGACGAAAAGACCGGAGAAGACCAATCATTTTTAATTAAAAATTGATTTTGGTCTAATCAATGAAGTATTTCAAAAGAATATTTTTATATCTCTCAAAAGACTAGTAGACCGAAAAGACCACCGCGTATATTTTGTATTTAAAATTCTTAAATGTGGTGTTTGGAAAGTCCTATGTTCAGCTTCGGCTGGAATTAGGAATTAAGGCTATGCCTAAATAATACGTTTTATAAATACGATCTAAAAGCTTCTAGATTTAAGTGAAAGACTAAATAGCTAGCTTCCAAAATTTGTTATAAGTAGGTGTTTGTATTGTACAAGCGAAATTTTACACTATATGTATAAGCGTAAAGATCAAAATAGGTTACGCACTGTAGATAGCTAGATTTGTTTTATTTTCATCTGGCTGGTACCATGATAAAAGACATTCTGTCTCTTTTTAATGAACATGCGCAAAAAGTGCAGTCGTTTAGGATATATGCGCTTGCATCAAGCTGTGCAAATAAGTACAGACTGTCTCGTTGGCCGAGTGGTAGCAAGTGCGACTGCCGGGCAAGAGGTCTCTGGTTCGATTCCCGGGTCGGGCAATGTATTACTGGGGTTTTTTTTAAATCTCAATAGTAGTACGGTGTCTGGAATTGTGCCCGGTATATGGCAATAGGCTCACCCCCTATTACATGGGACTCATAACATAAATAGTGAAAACTAGGTGTTACATTGTACAGTGGTATAATGTGCACCTCCGCCTACCCCTTCGGGGATAAAAGACGTGATGTTATATATGTGTCACTGCAGCTATCAAATATTGAGCGTTCAATGAAGTAACACTAGTTAATTCCGTAATGAACGAAGGAGTGGTACACACTAGTGTCATCAGCAGCTGTAGCCAAATGCCATTTAGCGCTTGTCTACATGTAGAATAAAAAACCAAATTATATGGAAATGACGTAAATTTTGACACTTGTCAGTGTCGTCCCCATACATTTAGTTTTCTACTGTCTCTGTAGACAAGCGCTAAAGTGGTGATGAGCAAAACTACGGTATGCCCCATTCCAGATTCAGTGTTCATCACTAAGAAATTTGTTAAATTTATTTATTTATTTATCTCAAAAATCTTAATAATACTTTATTTGAATCAGAAATCGAACCTGATACCTCTTGCTAGGTAGTCGTACTTGTAAACACTTGACCAAATGAGGCGATCAAATAATAATTTATGTTGTAATAATTTAAACAATAGTTCTACACTAAAACTAAAAGCAAAAAATAACTATTATAGGTCATACGTACTTATAGCTTACACACCCACTGATAGGTTAGAAGTCGGTGCCACAAGTTTTAAACAAAATTATTCATTAAAACCTTAATAGATACCTAACATTATTAAACTGTTTACAATTTTATTATGGAGTATACCTGTGACCATTGATGGGGCCGATGCCGATTCGGAGTCGCGGAGAACCTAACGGGTTACCGGGGCTCCAGCTCGACGCGCAGGGGAAGGAACGGGGTGGTTTTTAGTCAGTAAGAGTCTGACACTCCCTCCCGCCTCACTCAAGGCGGGAGTGATTCTTCCCCTTTTTTATGGCATAAGTCGGTAAACGAGCAGACGGATCACTCGATAGTAAGCAATCGGCGCCTTACCCAGACCCAGGCGGGAACAGTCATTCGATGATTTTCCCCATTTTTATATTTTTAAAAATACCTGTGACCATTACCTAAGATATATTTTGTTATGGGTTTGTGGCACCGACTTCTAACCTAACAGTGGATTCACATTTTACTTCGGGACAAAAACGAAATAGATTTAACGGCGTATAAGATAAGAATTTTCTGTTGAATGGAAAATCAGTCCAAGACAACAATAACTAAATTTGTATTGTAACTTTCGTGAGACATACTAAATAAATTATTATGTTTTCGGCTTACTCACGTTATAGTTTGACGAGGAACTCGACTAGTTTCAAGTCGCAACTAGAGGCGTCGCCGATACCACGAATAGAGGAAAGTGCGCGTGAATCACGGCAGAGGGCGCGCTGGGCCCGCAGACTCGAGTAGCCAGTAGCAGCGCGACAGTCGCCGCGTCGCGGGTCGCGAAATGCTGATCATGAATATGAGCCTCTAGCATGGCTTGAAACTAGTCGAGTTCCTCGTCAAATTATTACGTGAGTAAGCCGAAAACGTAATAATTTATTTAATAACTAAATTAAACTGTCAAACACCAAGCGGTCACCGGTGACCGCAACCTATTGTTCTTTAATTGTGTCTATAATGACGGTACTCGACGAGTTAATTTGCCATGGAATTGATCCTTAGATCCCACGTAAACGTACCGCACTTGTAGCAACTTGACTGTGAGGCAGTTATTTTTAAGTGCTGCTACAGTTAATACTTAAGATTAAACGAATATATTTATTATTATAATAATTCTGTCTGATTCAAACCAAACGTCAAAGTCAAAATCATTCATTTCAATAAACATAAATAGTAATTTTTATAAGGAAACATTTTCCGAGTCATATATAATTTCTAAGATTATTTAGACACAACTGACAAACGGTGAAGGAAAACATCGTGAGGAAACCTGGGCGGGTAGATGACTAATTTTTATTTTAATGTCCGTCTGGTAGATTATTTTAAAACATTACATACGTATTTTTTTATTTTCTTACAGAAACGAATACTTTCGACGATATATTGATTTGAAATGTTGTGTGACGTCACTTCTACGTACATTTTATACGTAGAAATGACGTTTTAGCCCCCCACTCCTCCTTCCGCCTCACCCAGGCGGGAGCAGTCATTCGATGATTTTCCCCCCATAAAAAAAAAGCCCCCACTCCTAAACTTTGATTCGTTTTATCTAAGTATCATTTTATTATACGACAAAATAAAAAATACGTGTCTAATATTTTTCAATACCTAATTAGATTTTTAATTTTCATACTCTGTCATCATCCCTATTATAAGTTTGAAATCGCTAACCTGCATTGAGCAAGCGTGGTGTTAAATGCTCAACCCTTCTCCGTGTGAGAGGAGGCCTTTGGTCAGCAGTGGGCATTTATAGGCTGTTGATGTTAGGGGTGGTTTGTAAAAACGGTAATTTGTTACCGGTAACTGAATGTTATTACCGACTTCAAAAAAAGGAGGATGTACGTGATTATAAGTGACAAAACGGATCTATGTAGGTTTACACTGAAAATGATAAAATAATAAAATAAAAACTGCGTTTAAAAAACCGACTTCAAAAAACCAAAAACTAATAACAAACAATAAGTCAAAACTAAAAAGCAAAAAATAACTATGATTAGTACTGATAGGTTACCCACCTACTGAGGTTAGAAGTCGGTATCATAAGCTCATATCATAATGATATAACTTAATGGCCACAAAATTGTAAATTAGGTATTTATTAAGGTTTTAATGAATAATTTTGTATTGAACTTATTTTAATGATGATCTTGACTTTGACTTTTGATTCGCTGTATATTATTTTGTTGACGAAAACATGTATAGTTTTGTAAGATGTCCAAATAAAAGGCTTTATATTTGTGTATGTTGTTTTTTATTTATCAAAGTAAGTTGGAAATGTTTTAGTGGTCATCACGCGGCCCATATTCTTTAAAGTACTGTTACACATATATAAAATAGCACGCTAAAAGGCCTTCTATTGATCATGTTAAAAATGTTCAAAAACTGAACGCCTGTCGATTCGCAAACATGCCTAAAATGAGCATGCTACTTTTGAGCAACATTCCTGCACACATACTACTAAGAGATAAGTGAGTACAGTGATAGAGTTACAGTCTACATTCCTAGATGGCGTTAAATCCACTAATTAGTCAGATGTGAGAAGTTTACAATACAATGCTTTAACTCTGACTGCCTCATTGGCCGAGTGGTCGCAAATGTGACTGCCGGGCAAGGGGTCTCGGGTTCGGTTCCCGGGTCGGGCAAAGTATAACTGGGTTTTTAAAATTCTCAGTAGTATCACGGAGTCTGGAATTGTGCCCGATATATGGCAATAGGCTCACCCCCTATTACATGGGACTCAACATAAATAGTAAAAAGTGGTTGTTACATTGTACAGTGGCATAATGGGCACCTCTGCCTACCCCTTCGCGGATAAAAGGCGTGATGTTATGTTATGTTTAAACTACAGCGTTTTATGGTTGAATGTCAACAGCTTACAAGAAAGTTACATAGATGGCACTGTTCTAAAGTTTCAAGAATTAAAATGTAGATGTCGCTACTAGTTCTTCATAGTTTTAACTCTACATTCCTAGATGGCGTTAAATCCACTTATTAGTCAGATTTTTTTAAGGGGTGAAAATCATCGAATGCCTGCTCCCGCCTGGGTGAGGTAGGAGGGAGTGTCAGACTCTTACTGCCTAAACACCACCCCGTTCGTACTCCTGCCCTTGTCACGTGAGTGGCGGCTCGACGTGCAGGTGTTGGAACGGGGTGGTTTTTAGTCAGTAAGAGTCTGACACTCCCTCCCGCCTCACCCAGGTGGAAGCAGTCATTGCTGATGATCTTCCTACCTAAAAAAAAAAAACTGCACTTCGAGCCGGAGCCCGGTAACCCATTAGGATCTTCGCAGCTCCGTATCGGCATCAGCCCTATTGGGCCCCATGCAATATGACAGAGATGGTACGATATATAAGTACAAATTAAAATTGCCTTTCAGTATTAAGGCGTGTGTCCGCCTTTTTTTTACTTCCTTGTATGTAGTTACTTCTTCAGTCAAAAGGCAGCTGCCTCGTTGGCCGAGTGGTAGGGCAAAGTATAACTGGGTTTTTTTTAAATAAAATTCTCAGTAGTAGCACGGAATCTGGGATACTGTAGTTGACAGGTAGTCAAATTCAATACTTTTATTGAATTGTCA